ACAGAAGTGCATATTTTCATACAATAGATTCCAAAAAAAGTACCACTGTATACCTGTTGGCCAGCTCTTTTATAAACATTGAGAGCTTTAACTGCATCATGTCTTGACATATCAAAGAACTGCAGGAACATGTAACATAAACTGGTATTATTGAAAAAAATTAAAAAGAGAAAGCATCATTTAACAACGGATTCAGTTCAACGAAACATGAGAACTGAATCTAATAGTCTTACCATGTCAACAAGATTTATAATTCCGTCGTTGATGGCACAATATATTTTAAAGCTCTCTTTTAAAACCTACATGGAAAAGGACAATGTTGAAACCCAGAAGCAACTTGTGATAAGGCATATATTAAGTTTTCCCAAGGATGTTATGGCCTTAACAATAAAGAATAGTTATGAAAGCTTGCATAAACTGTACCCTTACAGACCGTATTGGAGCAATTTGGGATTCTATGACATAACATGCTTAAATTACTGCAGTGTAATGACAGAAATTCTGTCAATGGTTCAGGGCCCGTGTATCGTACTTGGAAATTAACTATAAAAGTCATAAATCTCATGAATTTCATGTCCTAATTTACAAAGTATGTGATGCATAAAGCAGTTTTCAATAAAGGCATGTAGAGACACTCTCACACTCTGATCATAGAAAAATGGAGATTGGTATCATGCATACCAGAGCTAAGGCATATTGTATGAGGTAATTGTTAAAAGCTGTACCCTCAGGCTGCAAAATAAGAACAAATTAGAAATTCCAACCAAAGGAACAAAATGTTTCAATAAGAGAAACTGTCATGGATCAACATAAAGTATTTGACTATAAAGAACCAAACCAGATTTGGTGTTCTGTATCAATATTAAGTTATTACCTGGCAGCCCATGAGGCGGTAAAGAAGTTGCTGCAGTGCAGGTAGTTGCTCCAACAGCTCATCGGCAGCCAATGTTCGTGTTCTACTATGTACCTAGTGGAGTTAATAGTATCTTTGTTATGCTAAAGATGATGATGAAATTCAGTGTGAGAAATGACAAGCACAAACCACACCTTTGTTGATCCTGGTGATGTTTTTGTCAAACGCTCCGACTCAATGTCATACTTCAGAACCCGGAAACACTCCAGCCGTTCTTCTAGAAAGAGGGCATATGTCCTAACCCAAGCAGAGCAATCCCAAGCTGCAAGGTAGAATTCGGTCTAAGAAGAGACTGTTACAATATTGGCAACATGTTACATAAAAAAAATGCCATGGAAGGTAAAAGCATTTTACCAAGGGGACTTGAGTCATCTTTAAAATTGGAAATTTGGAGAATGTGTCCTCTCTGAGAATAGTTTAGAAGCTCTTCTCTAAATGTAGGATCACCCTCTCTCAATGTTCTATGAATAACTATCAATGTCTTTATGGCAACCTGCAGATTTTGTCAACTTGTCATTAGGTAAGTGATTTGCTACATTTAAGGAACCAAGTCATAACATGTTTGCAACTGCATTATCACATCAGTTCTTTTGAGCTTGTTTTCATGCTAACTTTTTGCAACTGCTACAAAACCAATTCGTATCAGTTATAAGAATTTGAAGCCTCCTGGACCTTGAGCCAAATTTACATATTGTTTCAATTAAGAACAAACACTATGATACGAAGAAGAAGAAGAAGAAGAAGAAGAATTAAGGACATACAATCCAGCTCCGAGTCTTGGACAATCTCTTGGCCAGAGCATGAATGCAGTATGCCACATCTGCCCGTGGACGTGTCACAGATGTTGCAGAGAAAATCTCTATGCAGGGAAACAAAAACAAAACCCCCCAAAGAAAATAATCAGGTATGAGAATGAGACTGAATTAGGAAAGATCATTAGTGCAAGGAATGCAAGGCATTTAGACAACGGAATTCAAAACAGAAATGGAAAATACAACTACAAACATTCTGTTAGAAAATGCAAGGAAAATTACCACAATTACAAATCTTGATAACCATTGTCAAGCAAATTCAAATCCTCACATCATTCCAAACACAAAATCATAAATGTAGAAAATCAAATGAAAAAGATGTAAACTCACTTCGAACATGGCGTTCCTTCGGAGGGCACTCAACGTGACTGGTGGCCTTCACCGTGGCAATATCCAAATCCTTCCAACAAAACCAACATTTCATCAAACAAACAATCAAAAACCAAAATGCTAGACATTAACAGAGCTCAAGAAACAAAACCCATCAATCAAATTTGCTTCTTTTTCAATTTTTTTTCCTTCTTGGTACCTTGAATTCGCTGTTGACCTTGATGAGGCCAACCTTGGTAGAGTCCTTCAGAGCTCCATAGGCCTTCCTAAAGCTCTGGAACGTACCCATCAAATTGTTCTTTTAAAATATATATATATATATATATATATATAATTGGTTTTTTTTTCCTCAAGAACACCAACACCTTTTCTTGTGTTGGCCTAGAGAGATTCAATTCATGGCTAGAGATAGAGAGGAGAAGGAGATCATGGTGCTGAAGATGTTCTTGTTCTCTGAAACCGAGTCGTTCCAACAACAAAAACAACCAACGACTCTCTCTCTCTCTCCCCTCCAAGGCTCCAAAATGTGCGCAACAGGAAGGACTATAATTATATGGGCATTTTTGTAGTTTTAATCCCTACAACCCCCCTCCTTCTGTTTTTTTTTTCTTTTTTAATTTGCCAAACTTTTTTTTTTTTCCTCTATGTTGTCTGCTGATTTTGAACTATAAATCACCAGAATATTTCATGAATATTATTGTTGTCTATGGGTTTGATTTGAGAATACAAAATGGCGGGTATTTTACTTGTATGCGAAGTACTGAAATACCCATAGTTTTTTATGACTTGGTGGAGGGAAAGGATGGGTATTTTGGTAATTTAGAATCTCAAGTTTTTGGGAGATCCAGTACAGGCTGGTGAGATTGTAGAATGAGAGGACAGGCTGGAAGCATATGGTGAACCACCACCTACAACACCACTTACAAATCTCATAAGATTAGGTGGCAATGGGATGGCCTGGGGGAAATTCCATTATTCTTCTTTTTCTTTGCTCTATACTCCTTTTTTCCCTTCCCTATCCTCTCTCTTCTTCTTTTTTCTTTGCTTCTGATGTGACTGATCACCATTTTTCTGTCTACTCTCATTTTTTTTCCTTTCTAATCATTAAAAGTAAAAATCATAATATTAAAAATAAAAAAACAAGAGATGTTGCCAAAGGTCACGTTTGGTGAGTCGAATTAGACTGAATTCTTTCAATTAAATTGGACAAATATTTTGGCCATCATTTAATATGCCGGAACTTAATAAATTAGATAGCAATTCCTTACAAGTCTCATTGAAAATATTTTTCATTCCTTACGTGTCAATAAATGTTGGTGAAGTTAAAAATTGAAATCATTCATTTTCTTCGAATATTCATTGATGGTAAGTAAACATGATTTAAGAATTAACTAGAAAGGGTCTAATTAGAAACACCAAAATATCCCCTCTTAATTAAAAAGGAATTTCCAAAGAGCGATTTGGAGCATTCTCTTGGGCCATAGGTATAGATTTTTGATAAAATGGGTTAAAATGTATCTCTAAAGAGGAGTTCTTAAAATGTAACAAAAGGGACTAAGCCAATAGGATTATCTATAAAAATTTTGAATGCACACCATATGGATTTTGAGGCAACACAAATCACCTTGTTAAGCTCATCCTATAATGCAATTTCATCTTCCTAATTGTCTAATTTTCGGAGGCCCGTCAAAAATCACCTATACGGAGTCATTCTATAGCGAGGATCTTATCAACGGCTAATCAATTTGATTGTATTAAATTAAATTTTTTTATCAAATGGTTAAGAGATAAGGCATCATTTAAAGGCCTTAATTAGGGCTGACAATGGGTCGTGTCGTGTCGGGATAATAAACGTGTCAAAAATGCTCAACCCGAACCCAACCCATTTAATAAACGTGTTGTGTCGAGTTCGGGTCATCTTTTATCATGCGGGTTTCGAGTTGTGTAGCTGGTTCATAAATAATAACATGCTTATTACAAAACTCACAACTGAAAAAATTTAAATATAAAAAACGGAGAGAGGAGAGAAATATAAGGAAAAGAAAGAAAAAAAAAGATAGAGAGATGAGAGATGAGAGAAGGAAAAGAAAAAAAAATAGAGACAGAGAAAGAGGAGAGAAGAGAGAAGAGAGAAGAAAAAAAAAAAAAAAAAAAAAAAAAAAAAAAAAAAAAAGAGAAGAAGAAGAAAAGAGAAGAAAAAAAAAAGAAAAAAAAAGAGAGAAGGAAAAGAAAAGAAAAAAAGAGAGGAGAAGATAGACGGAAAACAAAAGAAGAAAAAGGAAACATTATAAATATCAAAAGGCATGGTATATAATCACAAAGTTGTATGTAGTATGGTGAATAAAGTGTTTGAGAGGAATGAGGGTAGTGTAGGTTGTGAAACCCCTTGTGTGCGTGTTGAACTCTACATTTCTCTTCATTTTTTCGTGGGTTGGCGTGTATTAAACAGATTGACACGACCCGTTTAATAAATGGGTTAGACATGTATTATAGCGGGTTAGCAGGTTGACTCGAAACCCATTCATTTATTAAACGGGTCAAAATGGGTTGACCCGAAATTGACCTGTTTTTTTATCATGCAGGTTAAACCCGCTAATTTCTCGTGCGGGTTTCGAGTCGTGTATCAGGTCGTGTCCGAAATTGCCACCCCTAGCCTTAATAAGGTAGAAAAACAAAAATCACCAAATCAGAAATAAAATAGAAAAACCAACAAAATACAAGGACCAAAATGCCCAACTTGGTCAAATAATACCAGGCCCAAACCTTTACTCGGCCCAACCCAAACAAAGGTCCCTTATCATACAAAACTCTCTCGGTCTGAATCTCACCGGCTACGTCTTTCTCTTCCTCCAATCTCTCATTTGCTCGAACTCCTCATTTCCTCCTCTTGCTACTTTGAGTTCTAGGGTTAGGGTTTCCAATTCTCTCTCAGGGTGTCATTACAAATGGCGTTGAGGAGATTCTACAGCGAGATCAAAGGGTTGAAGGTGAAGGAATTGCCCAGCTATGTGAAGCCGATGCTGTCCGTCGACTACGCGAAGAAGACGGTGCAGAGAGGCTTGGACAATTACCACGCCAAGTACATCCAGACCAGCTCCGTCGATCCTCTCTTCCATGTCTGCTTCGGGGGCATGATCTTTTCCTACCTCGTCGCTCTTCCTGAGGAGCGTCGCCACCTCGAGCACCAGCAGCACGCCAAGGAGCATGGCCATTGATCTCAATTGGTATAGTCAATTCATAAATATATTTTTGTTTATTCATATTAGTCGTTTTACTTTCGTGATTGGTTTATTTTATTTTATTTTTATTTAATGGATCAAGGATTCAATGATTGAAAATTCAAAAAATGTGTATAGGTGTGTTGAAATGGGTCATTGGAGATTTAGCTGATAATAGATGAAGTTTATTTTCCGTATTTATTTGTGTTTTCAAATGGGTCATTGGAAGATGTTTATTTGACTTGAGGGTTTTGTTTGTAAACATTTCAATGTATGTTTTTGTGGTCCTTGGGTTTGGCTTTTTGATATCTTCTCTGGTGGGAGATTTTTGTTGATTCATGATTGGGTTTTACTTGTTTCTCTGATCTCAGTGTATTGAAGAAGGTGTGATAATTTATAGATTTGATAGTAGGTGAGCTTTTGCATGTTGGCTTAGTGGGTGATAATGTAGTGAACATATTTTTGTCTATCAATCTTTGATTATTTGTCGTAATAAATGGGTGAGCAATGAAATAGTTTTCCACCATTGTTTGCTTGAAGGTGGAGCTTGATGGCCGGAAGAGAGTACCTCTTGCTTTGTGTATATTATTTTCATACTTTTGTGGGTTAACATTCTGATATTAATTAATGGAATTGCATATTTGCGTTGGTAAATGGGGAGCAATCATCACAGAATATTACTTTTGCGCCTATCTTATTTGGCTTCAATGAACTTAATATATTGTTGATTTTAAAAATAAAATTGCGTAGGGATTTGAAATCATAATTCTTCAATCTGTAATGAAATAGATAAAAAGGAAATCATATGTTTTGTGTTGGCTGTTTAAGAGTGTGCATGATGCCTTATGTAATCCCATTATGTAGTAGGTTAGATATCATAGTTCTTATACTCCTTAAACACAAATGCGCTCTCTCAAGGTCTTATTGTACTCTGTTAGAGTTGGATTTAGTTTTGCATCTCAAACTGAGGTTTGGTTTAAGTTGAGTCAAAGCGATTAGGCTATGCTATGTCCATATGTAAGACTTCAATTTACTCCTGCCTCTTTGAGCTTCAGTCCATTTAGCATATAGTTTTAGGATGTATTCTTCTTTCAGCTGCTTTTTCATGTAATTCTCTTCAACTTGGTTATATCTACTGTTACTAAAAAAGCACTTTTTGTCAATCAGAGTGTGTAAAGTACCATTTATACCATTTTCATCTTTAATAAGTTTGATAATAAATATCAAAATTAAGGCAATATAGTAATTAGCCCTATTTCTCATTGCAATGTACTCCTGTCTGTTCTCATCTTTAATTTTCTCATGTTTAAACTCTAGTGTTTAGGCTCTATCTAGTGAAAATGTACATACACTAGTCATTTTCCCGTTGGTTTGTGAAAAAAAAGTTTGGAAATTGATTGAGGAACATACCTACATGACCTAGTGCATATGTCATTCATTTGGTACACAATCTTGTTGAGTTACTTAGGACATTGAATTGGCAACAGTTTTATCTGTTAACGACACTTGTGAAGTTTTTTTTTTCTTTTTTTTCTCCCAAGTTCTTACAATGAGGCCTTCTTGAGGTTCTCTTTTTGTTTGCTCTGAATTTATTGAATTTGATTACAGGATGATATACAATGTCCTCTACTCTTTCTAAAAAAGTGGCCCATCCACTTAGAGAATTTACATATTTAGATATAGAAATGTGAACTTTAAGAATTTTCTCCACCTAATTATTTCTTTAGAAACACTGCAATGACTGCGCCAAATATGTTTGTTGAAACAAGGGTTGCACTGAAAAGATTGAAGTCCTTAGTTTACTAAGCTGGAATTGACCTATATGTTGTTGATGACCATATTTGACTAGGCTAGAAAATGCGTCTTTATTTCCATCTATATATATATGACTCTGCACGACTGACAATATATCCTTGTTCTTTGTGCTGCTGAAAGCACTCTTCTCCGCCTCTTGGTTCCTTTGTTCCTTGCTAGTTTGTCTTTTATTTATCTGGAAATAATATTTTCACTTATAAATTTTGCAGGTTAATGAGCGCTTTGGGTGTTGGTTCTCCAATAAAATTTACTTGGCCATTGGGTATCATGCCTATTACTTTTGTAATTTGACCATTGAATGAGTTGTTAGTAATAAACAACTTCTGCCCTTCAATGTATTCTGCTGCTGATTTTGTTATCGAAAAATGATTTGTCTTTGTGCCTTCATTTACATTAGTATTAATGTGGGTTGGAGGTGAAATCCTTTGCAGTCTGTCTAATTTTTGAAGGGTTTATACAAAATGTATTTCACTTGATGCTTTCATTGTTCTACTTTGGTCCTGGCATTCTGAGGCTGGGAAGTTGGCACAAGGCAATCTTTTTCGTTTCACTTGATGCTTTCATTGTTCTGCTAGAAGATTGCATTTCTGACCACATGATGTGGTAGTTGATGTGTATTTGTTGTAGCAGTTATTGTTGTGATTAAATTGTAAGGACACCCATCAATTAATCACACCCACCAGTTAATCACACCCATCAATTTTGTGGTCAGAAATTGTGGTTTTGTAGCATATCATACCCATCAATTGCTAAACCCTCTGAGTTATGCACCAATTCTCTTGCCAATATAATCAAGAGTATTCAGGGGAACAGAGGGAAAGATGAATTTTTGTGTCGAAAATCATTACGGGCAAATTGAGCACATTCCTACGCAACATCAAACATTTAAATAAAATCTAGAATCCAACCTCCCCAGTCTACCTCATAATCTTTGTATAAGATTCATCACTAATGGGAACTTCCTGTTGGGGTTGGTGGTGATGCTAAATGTTTGAAGTCTATTGCCAATAACGATCAACAAACAAAGGTAGTAGGAAGTTTTCTACCATCAGCCGCCCGCGCGTATGCGGTTGAAATTTAATTGTTGAGGCATCCGCCCACACTTAGTTTTGTTTTGTCAAATTCATACATCCAATTGGGCCAAAGATAATTATATTAGCTCCTGCTTTTCTTATAGCCTACTAAATAGCAAAAAAGGGTTTCTTAACTCACAATCTGCTACTCTCATATTGACAAAATTCTTGTCCCGATAGCGACTAACCGTAGCATATCTCAACGTATTACATTCCTTGACCCAAAAACATGAGCAAAACAATAAAAGGTATAATTAGACAATTTAGTACGCTTGTATTGTTAGAATTGCAATCTATACCACATACTCAAGAGGTATAGTTTAAAGAGTTCGGTCTCCTCAAATATAACAAAACAATAAGACTTCATTTGGATAGATGAATTCCAAGTCCATGGATTTAGATGCGATTATAAAGTAAAACTGTTTGTTTAGTCTATTACAATCCATGTATGCCTAAATTTAGACAAGAAAGAAAGGAAGAAAACAAATGGATTCCAAATGATTCCTTAGATTGCATAGTCATTTTAAAAATTAAACATCTAGTTATTTCAAATACATTTAATCTAATATAGTTTTTGTTTTTATAGCAAATTTAGCATTGTTGTCAAATCCAAATCCTTTCTTTATAATCCTTCCATTCAAATGGAACCTAACAATTTACATAATATATTGTACTATTGGGTATATAACTTTTCCTTATGGGACCAAGAAGAACAGGTTACACTAAAAATAAATAAAAAGACTAAAATACCCTCAAATGAGGCCATGTTGAATATGTTGTACTCCCCCAAAAAACAAATCTCGCATTATGAAAAACAAGAGAATATTTAGCTATACACCCTTTAATTATTTCAGTTAAAGTCATTCAAATACATGAAAAAACAGTGAATCGAGCAAAATAAAAAATAAATAAAAACACAAAGACATGAAAGAAAATTTTATTTTTGAGAAAAGGCATGAAAGAAAGTCAAGCAACAAACCAAACAGAAAATGCAGTTAAAATAGACAAAAGGGTGGGGGCTTATTGTCTATACATTCTATATATAGACATTGCTCCAAGAATTTTTTTTTTGATTTTTTTGATTTTCTAGTGTAGCGAGAAAAGGGATGCCTGAATCATAACAGATTTGTATCCGTTTTTTTTTTTGGTCAACAGATTTGTATCCTCTTTGTACAAGAATTCATCGATTCAAAAACAGAAACTTACTAGACACATATGATTGATTGATCATTCCCAAAATGAAGAAGACTATAAATAGACAGGACTTTTAGAGAGAGGGAGATCGTTGGGTGGCGCTTCGGGGAGGAGAGCAGAAACTGCCCAGAGAGCACCATTGGGGAAAACCCCAAGAACCCAAATTTTTTCAAAATTCGAAATTCTTGGAGCAATTAATCCAAAACCCATCAATAACTCGACAATTCCAATACTTCTTTACTTATATATATGAATGTATACGTGTATATATGTATGTTTTGTAGCAGCTTCAAAGCCCAGCAGTTCATAGATCTCTATTCTTTTTCAGGTGAGCTTCCCATGTTGCCTTTACCTCTCAATTTGCTTACTTGACTGAAATTGGTTTGAAGCTTGAATCTTTTGCGCTCTGTTCCAGTTTTTGTTATGTTGTGATCTGAGCTTCCAAAATCAAATCCTCCAATTGGGAGGCACGAGATCACTGTTCTTGTGAGTTTGCATTGAGCTTCTGCTTCTAACAAAAGAAGTCGCCTTACAATGACTTGTCTCTTTTGAGATGACATTATGTTTCATTGCTTTGTTTAGTAATCTGTTATGATATATCTACGCACATTACTCACACTTGTGACAATTCCATATCAGCTGAGGAAAGAAGGTGCCCTCTTTGCAGGAAAGACGATCGAATTTGACTTCATCTTTTTCTTGGCTAATTTGCACTGTCTTTTCTTTCTTGAAGCTGTTCTTTTGTATCCAGTAATTAACTTCACTTGGCCAAGAGGGCACTTTATTCATCTAGTTATCATATATTCTTTCCAGAATTTCAATGCAGAGACAAACTTTATTAAAAATGTTTGAAGTAGAGGATGCCAGCAATTAAAACATATAAACTCTGCAAAACTAAATTAACCTGATAACTCTTGAGATTTTTCTATCGTATTATATGTCAATTTTGTGCTGTAAAACTTTTCTCTGCTCTATCCTGTCATTGTTTCTGGTCCTTTTTTTTTCTTTTCTATCTTTAAAAGTTAATACTAACCCATTTTGTGTTTGGATTTTCAGTATTGATACATTGGTTAGCAGAATGCGTGGTCTTGGAAAAAAGTCATCCCTCAAGGAGTCAGGAAAACCTCGTTATTCCAATTCTGTGGCAAAGCTAATTTCATCACCAAAATTTAGAAAAGGTGGCAAAGTTTCCCATGTTAAAAAAATAAAGCCAAGGTCCAAAACTATTATTGCTTCATGCTTGTCGAAGAAGAGAGGTGCTGACTCTACAAGGAAGGGGTCTAGGAATAATGATACTGATAAAAAGTTGATGAGCAGAAAAGGAGTTCATAAGGTACATGATACAAATTCTTCCAAAAAGCTGTCTTCTGTGAAACTTCAGGATGAGAAGTTCTCATTCAAGGACTCTGACAAGAAAGGGGAAAATGCTGATGGGGAAGTCAAACTTAGAATAAAAAGGAGAAGAAAGAAGAAATTACAAAAGGATAAGGTGGAGTTAGATGAAACTTCTCGCTTGCAGAGGAGGACAAGATACCTGCTGATTAAAATAAAGCTGGAGCAGAACCTAATTGATGCTTATTCTGGTGAAGGTTGGAAGGGTCAGAGGTATGATAAAATTAACTTAATTATCAATGTTTAAGCTAGACTTAGAAAGAGAGGATTGAAATTTTGAAGATTTGATAAAGTAACCATTTGAACCATGCATGCTCTGGTTTCTCAACAATAAGTATTTATGTTAAGAGGAATGTAATAAAGATGCGACTGGATAGTGTTGGAAGTTAATTCTTTGATATCATTTGATTGAATTTAAAATTTCTATCATTTTATTAGATTGTGTGTTTTCTAGAGCTCTTTTCTTCAGCAAATAGCTCAATGTTGTAATTCTTTTAATTTTTTATTTCTATCACAGCCGAGAAAAGATTAAGCCAGAAAAGGAACTACAAAGAGCTAAGAAACAGATATTGAAATGTAAGCTTGGAATCCGTGATGCTATTCATCAACTGTATTCTCTGAGTTCAGTGGGTAGCATGGCAGATTCTGTTATTGCTGCAGATGGATCTGTTTATCATGAACATGTAAGTAGATGTCATTACTATCCTTTTGGTTTCTCTCACTCTCTGACTCTGTCTCTGTCTCTCTCTCTCTCTCTCTCTCTCTCAAGAATCTAATTTATTGTAACAAGAAAATAAAGCAACGCACATTCTGTTTGTGTGGATGTGTGCTGAAAGGGGCCATTTGAAATAACCAGTTGTGCTAGAAACTTTTGCAAAAGCATGCAATAGATTGAGAATTAAAGAATGAGCGATCCTTGCGGTCTTGGCTAAGGTCTTGCTTTTCAGACAGCTCCAAAGCCTAGGATACTGATGAAATGGTTTTGGGTTTGCAAGAATGGTTCTGTGGTTTTAGGCTAGCAAGAATGGTTTTTCCTTTTATATAATACCTCGTATGAGGTGTTGCCACATTGTCTTGGTTGCATGCTTATTTATATACTAGTTTTTGTTATTGTTAGATATTCTGTGCAAAGTGCAAGTTGAATGAAGCGTTCCCCGATAATGATATTATACTCTGTGATGGGACATGCAATTCTGCATTCCACCAAAAATGTCTGGATCCTCCCTTGGATACTGAAAATAGTAAGTTTCTCACCTTTTCTGAATTTGTTTTGGACCTTTTTGGTGACATACCAATTAGATTTTGTTAGCAAACGGTTACTTTAAGTTTAATTGATAATCTACAGTTCCTCGAGGAGATCAAGGCTGGTTTTGCAAATTTTGCGAGTGTAAAATGGAAATACTAGAAGTAGTCAATGCTCATCTTGGGACCTGCTTTTCCAATGACTGTGGTTGGCAGGTTAGTCATTACCAGAATCATCTAGAAATGCCAACTTTTCCCCCACTATTTACTTTTGATTTCAGAATTTAGTAATTCATGTAATTACTCTCTCCATGGGATAGGATGTCTTCAAGGAAGAAGCCGCTTTCCCTGATGGTGAGAATTCGTTGTTAAACCCAGATGAAGAATGGCCTTCAGATGATTCTGAAGATGATGATTATAATCCAGAAAGGAACGAGAACAGCTGCAGCTTCAGCATGGGAGGCACCGAAGACAATGCATCAGATGATGAATTGTCAACTGATGTCAGTGTAGGTTCTGATGAGTCTACTGATGGGGAAGTTGTTTCTGGCCGCAGACAGAGAAGACGTGTTGATTATAAGAAGTTATATGATGTGAGTACACAGCCCAAATTTTTTGTTTTTTTTTTTTTTTTTTTTTTTTGAAAATAGAATAGAGATGAATTATTGGTGGGACTTTGAGAAAATTAAATGTGTGCATTTTAGTCATCTTGTGGTTACATGAGGAAACTTCATGTAGGCAGAGAGAGACATATAGAATACTCTAGATAGCAATGTCTTCCTCAAGTACAAACAGAAAGGAAACTTGACTCTTGAACTATACCCTGCTTCTACTAATAATAGGACTCCAAATTGACAACATAAAGCTACAGAAGACTCTTGAGTCTTTTGAAAAGCTCCTAAAAACACTAGTCTGAAAACAGAAATGTAATGTCTAATTTTCTAATTAGAGCATGACCTTTGATTCCTTGTACCTTTACAGATTTAATTTCAATTGGATGCCACATTTGGGTCTGACAGAAGGAGAATGCTAAGTTTCCAGAAAATGAAATTACTTAGAAACCAATAATTTGACCCCTACAGTTGATTGCTTGCAGTCATCTTGGCATATAAAACAGTCTGTTTGGATATATTGTCAACCTATGAAATGCTTGTATCATAATGTAATCAATATAGATCTCTTTGGGGTTTATTATAAATTTCTATTTCATGCAAAATTATGGGCTACAGTTCCCCATTTTGTTGTTACATCACCAGTTTTTTGAGGTAAAGGTCAGATATTCACAGTATAATACATATTTCTTTCCCCTACAAGGAAATGTTTGGAAAAGATGGTCCTTTGCATGAACAAATTAGTGATGATGAAGACTGGGGTCCTGTTAAAAGAAAGCGGAGAGAAAAGGAATCTGATGCAGCCAGCACCCTTATGACTCTCTATGAAAGTGAGAGAATTCCAGATGTCACCCCTACAGAAGTGAAAAGTAAACATCCTCCAGATACTCAAGTTAGAAGGGCATGTTTCCGAATACCTCGCAAGGCAGTAGAGGTATTAGAACATGACTCTCCCTTCTCTCTGTCTGTCTCCTTATGCTTTCAGGCAGAGGTATTTATAAATCTGAAGGCAGTACTTGATATTTTCTTGACTAAAATTCTGTGCTGTAATTTCCTATTTCAGAAGCTGCGCCAAGTGTTTTCTGAGAATGAACTTCCTTCTAGAGATGTGAAAGAGAATCTTTCAAAAGAGTTGGGACTAGATCCTGAGAAGGTAATGGCGATTGATGAACCCGCTCTATAAGTCTTACTGCGTGCCATATTGGATCGAGAAAAAATTAGTTTAAAAGTTACCGATATGTTTTTCATCCAGTCAAATACATTCGCCTTTCTGGATTTTACTTTATTGGAAGTTTTGGTTCAAGTCTCAGAGAATTTAAATGCGTAGGCGTGATTTTGTGGTATCTATCTGTGAAGTCAGTGTCACTGGGATATTAATACAGGATTGAAGCTTATGCTTTTCTTACATTTTCCATTGTTTTAACCCTTTTTAAGTTGCAATTTCCAGGTTAGTAAATGGTTTAAGAACGCACGTTACTTAGCCCTCAAAACCAGAAAGGTGAGCTAGTAGTCTCTGTATTTTTTTATATACCTATCACTGTGTTTTTTCTTTTTTCGTTTATCTGTTTTAGCGTCTTTGAGTTTTCACTGCTGAATAAAAATCAACGGTATATTGTTGGAAATATTTTCAACAAAGAGTATGATGGATCTTTTGCGCAACAGGAAGAGAGTGCTACAAACCTTCACACTGTTACTCCTGGAATCTCCAAGGAATCCACACATGAAAATGTGACTGAAAAAGCTGCTGATCTCATGGCATCAGATTCAGATGATTTCTTAGCTGAAACTGTGGTCCATTCTCCAAGAAATGTTAAGAAATCCTTCCGGAGAAAGCACCCAAAATCATTAAGCAGCCCTTCGAGGAAAAATCAACAGAAAGGATCTTCATGTGGGTCACCTGCAAAGAGAAACAAGGTCTTGGCCTATCATAATAGATAAAATTAGGAATTTTCTTATTATTCCAGGGTCATTGGTATTATGGTTATTTTAAGGGTTACTGTGTTTTGGCCGTCATTGTGGCCACGTGTTTATCAGTAAAATAGTGAAGTAGTTATTTTGCTTGTGAGACTTGAGCTTTGCTTAGTTTCTTAATTTTGGATCTTTTCCTTCAGAATAAGAGTTTTTAGTTTTTGTAAATTTGCAACCTCCCTTTTTTATCCAAAAATCTTTAAGCATCCTACAGATAGTCACAGCCTACTGATAGAAATCAACTGCCCTTCAACAGACTTGTGATCTCAATCAGTCCCCATTTCTTACTCTCATCAACTTTGTTTTGTGTGGAAGAATTCTGGTGTATCATGGAGTTCTTCAGGAACAACCCCACTTTGTCATCCTCAACTATTTCACATGCCTTAAATCTTCTTTTAAACAGTTGCGACTTACCTTTATTTTTGTCGGTGTGTTAGTAAGGGTAAAGAAAATTGTGTGCCTACCTCAACTTATTTTTGTTGAACTTTTGTGACAGATGAGAGAATTGTATCATTTTTTTAGATAGATAGTATATTTACCCCTAATTATGTATGTTGGATAAATTGAATAATAATAAAGTTGACTCATGTGTTGGTTTGCTTTCATATAGGATGGAATGGAGTTGAGTGATAATGTGAGCTTGAAGAAGCTTTTGAAAGAAAGAACAAAGGAGAAGAAGGCCAACCTTATTGCTGGAGGTGGATGTCGTGTTGCAGAATTGGAAATGGAGAGACTATGTAAAGCCAAAGGTAGGCTAGAAAATATGAGACAGAAATTACTGAAATTTCAAAATGCCAAGGCAAAGAAGTCAAATAAATCTCTCTTGCATGAACAGTCTGTCATTTATGTTCCAATAGCAGAACTAAAGGACAAAGTCTGATATTCTGAAATGTTATGAATTTTCATATAGCATTTTTGTCATCTCAGTCATTGGGTGTTTCTTAATTCCAAATGCCCGCACTAACTTAAAATTTAACGTGTGGTGTATCAATTTTTTCTTGTTGTACAAGAATATACTCTCTCTCTCTCTCTCAAGTTATCTTTCAGAAGTGAAAAATAGTTTTGAGACTTGGGCTCCGAATTAACTTCAAGTTGAACATCCTGTTGTATTTGGTTTCTTTTTCCCTTTTTGTCCTAGTAGTTTCACTCATTTTTTTCATTTCAATTTTGATAAATCCAGCCCTATAGTTTGATTTGGTTTGCAATCAAGTTCAAATTATTAATTTCGTTGAATAGAGAAAATTCGACGTTGCAATATGCAACCACCTCACAGGAGGCAACTTTTGTTTCCAAAACATTTACGACACCAATATCTTACCAAATAACTTGTTAGCAATAACTATCAGCATCAGTTTCAGACTTTTATTTTTACTTTTAGTTCGAGCGATAGGCTAAACTACAACTCACGCACACTACAAAAGGTGCCATAGGGGAACTCACGCACACTACCAAAGGTGCCATGGGGGTTTAAATATGAGACGACTAGTCTACAAGTCAGGGCCTTCTTTCCATTGGGCTAGACCCATTGACAAATTTTATTTTATTTATTTAATACAGAAATTTGGGAGAGAGACTAGGGTTTAGACTTTAAGACTTGAACAATGCAACTGAATTTGTCTTTTTCCAATGAAATTTTAGTGGAGGCGATACTTTATGCAACCTCAGAATGGAACCATTTTCAGTTTCGTCTGGATATCACACTACACTGGAAACAATGCATGAAATTCTGTTTTGTGGAAAATGCTCATCCTCGAATAAACTAGACCAGGAAATCTTACTCTGTTGTCGTTTCGCTCTGAAATCCACCAATCAACAATACCTTCAACTTATGATGAAATCCACCAAGACTTGTCACAAAAGCTTATAGGTAGTGTTAATCAGAGAACGAAACTTCAATGGAATAAAATCAAGGAAACATTTATAGTTACTACAAGCTTTCCCAAGAGAGCTGAAAATCCTAGGTCGTATATTTTTCGTTATGAAAATCATGAACAATATGATATTCACAATTTAGTTTTGTAGTTCTTCGTCCTTCCATTCCACATTTCAGTTCACCCATTAAAAGATGAAAATCAAACAACACTGCTAAGGAGGTTAAAAACTTTAAAAAAGAGAGGCGCACCAAGACAGTAGCTCATAAACATATACTTGCCTATATCACAACACATTCAACTGCGGTGAAAATTTCTAACCCAATTTGTTATATATGAAATAAATGTACAACATGAGTAACAAGCTGGGTTTGTATCGACACTTTTATTGAGTTCTCATCATATCATAGAGTTTGTATACTTTTTGCATCTGTTATGGGGTTTTGTAAATCACCAGTACTCTTGGTGCCATCCAAAGTATGCCGTTTTGCAGATAGCCGGGGCCTCAGCTGCATGTTATACTAAATAATAAGAACCCAAAGACAAACCAGAAGGAAAAAAAATGGTACACAAACTGATGTATTACACTCCAGTTAGCCATTAGCACATGTTTGAGAGAATTTTAAAAGAGAATTTCAAGAACTTAGTAAATTTTAAAAAGGAGTTTCAGGAACTTTGTTCTGACAAAAGCACATGAATTTAAAACTATGAAACATTATGTAAGTTTAGATATGCCAGAAATTCACTACAACACATGTTTCCCCCAATAAGTTTGCAAAGGAATTAGTAACTAATCATCAATTCAATGGTAAAATTTAATGTCTCATCTCAATTCCCTCATAAATCTATCCATACCTCCCTCAGAAAAAATGAACATGTGTAACTTGAACCGTACATTCTTGTATGTACCAACCATTAGCTCATTTTTATTTATTTTGGCCCATACCATCTGAGTTTCTCCGTTACCAACATATTTCAACATACTCAGGAAATATATCAACCTTTTTCTTTTCATTTTCTTTTTGTTTGGGTTATCCTTTAAAATTTCAGTAGTTTCATTGAGTTATTTACACTGACCGTCTCAATATACTTCAGTTGCTTCAGAACTTGATCCGTTCCCAGTTCCTGAGCCAGACACATAAAAGGAGAGTTTGCATTAGAGTTAATAATAGAAATACTATAGAACAGACTATAAAACTGTCAACAAAATCTGATAGGCATAAGAAAGATAAAATGATAGTGCAGTGTTTTCTACCAAGCTTTTTCACAATAAAAATATGCTGCCAAGACTAAACATTGAAGGTGAAGTTGCATCTCTTCACTAGATTCCTCTCATTCAAGTATCTCTTACCCAAAAACTCAACAACGACAACCTCAAAAATCCTAACCAAAGTATAGAATCAAAGAAATTCTAAGTTTCTAACCCATGAACTAAAAACAACAACCTTCACATCATTGTCCTTTTATGAAAAAAATCAAGAGAATTTCGGTGTTTCGGATAATAGAAGTAACAGAGGAAGAAAGGTTTTAACATAGGATATAGTAGTTAACTCTTCAACCAGATATGTTTTGTGAAACAATTAAGATAACTTTGGTTTGGAGATGATGGCGGTAATGGAGGACACAAATGGTACTGATGGCTTTGAAGATTTAGGCAATAGAGGCTTGAGTAGGAATACTGTGGTGAAGACCACAGAATCTAGCAGTTGCAAAAATGTGAGCACATTTGAGGACCCTGTCAGTAAGAATTTGCTATACGTTTTCTTCTTAGAGTTTCATGATATGGTCTAAATATCCAAAAATAATCTAAAAACCCGAGACATGAAGACTGTCAGTGATATGTCCACCTGAGGCACATTACAATCAGCATGGCTTGGATCCCAAAGGATAGAGCAGAAGCACTCCCAGTCATCAGTTTGGACTTCAAAAAGAGGAGCCCTGCTATATGAGAATTTCCCATAATGTTAAAGATGTATAACATAATCAACAAGAAGTAGAAAATCAATCTAGGAGAGTGAAAGAGATATAACACAAATTTTGATAAAATAGTATAAAACAAGTTCTGAATTTGTAACAAAACCTTTTTTAAGTAAAAAGCACAGCATTTTGGGGGTGGGAAGAAGGTTCGAGTCATTGAGGTTGTAGTGTGTTACCTGTAATTTTGGTTATTTGGATGGAAAGAAACGAGAGAAATCATAAAGTTTCAATCACTCTTCCAAAGTTTCATACTATGACTCATCATTTTCCTTTTGGGTGTGTATGAATCATCAATTTTTGCCACTCAAGCATTTCCTTACCATCATACTATTATAAAATATTTTTTTTAGCCAAGAGACACCCTCATCTCCTAAACATCTCCACAGATCAATCAGAATTCCATCTGGTCCTAAAACCCGTTCTGTTCCCATCTTCCATGATCCAAGGAAAAACTTTCATATAATCATCCTTCAATGACCTTCCATCGTTCTCACCACTCTTTATATTTAACATTATTACAATTTGTAGTTTATCTCTACCTTAACTTTGCAAGTTCTTAGATAATACTTATTTGCTTACAGTAAGTTCTTGTAGCTTTTCTCCCCATCTTTCATGCCCATTATTTATTTTATGTTTGCTTGCATCCAGCTCTTCATCCTTGCCACTTGAGCTAAGACTCATGAATCACGCCTATTTTAGAGTAAAAATCACTACATGTTTGACTTAGCATCCCATGCTACTCTTCACTTCCTCATCCATGCCCAATTATTGATCTGTTTGACAAATATTCTATGATTGATCATACCTCTGTTTTTACTCAGACGGCCTATCATTGCCACATCAGAACTCAAATTATATGTACAAGACACGACAACAAAAAAACATACCCAGAGAGAAAAGAAGGGGGAGAAGTGCAGCTTCAACTTTGTACAATATGCCAGTATCTAAATATTAACATAAGAAAATATTGCAATTGCACTGGGGACAGTCAAATAACTTTATAATGATCAAATTTGACAAGTCACAAACAACTTTCCTTCATTTATATCAGTGTTTCATATCTCCATTAAAGTAATTTTGCTGAATATAATAATAATATACATATTTTTCAGAAAAATTTCCAACCAAAGAGTCAAATCATAACCATCACAGGTTCAAATTAAGTGCTAAGTTAACATAAAACCATAAACAAATTACCTGCGCCACTTGCCACAAATAGTTCCATTTGCACTATCTACAACTTCTCGACATTGAAGCCAATTACCTATAGAGCTAACTCTAGAAGGTTTATTGCAGTTCAGCTCCTACAATGAAAAATGGCCATTGCTCAATAGAATTTCCAAATCATCCTTGCCAAATGAAAATGCTGATTACAAATGCACAGACGCATCAAGGACTTACATTCAATCTAACATACTCCGAAGAATCTAATTCCAATGGTTCGCCAATGCCATCAATATCACTATATCAAACAAAACAATAAAAACTGTAGCTTGTAAGCAGCATGCCAAAAGAGAGAAAATAGCAATTCAAAAAAGGGCAGGAGGATGATAAAAATGTTTCTTTCCATAATGCGCATGAAAACAGAAGATCCCACACAAATAGCTATGAGAGAAGGACAATCAACAAATTGTTCAGGAATACAACCAGCACACAGAAGGAGATCTTTCCTACCTTGCGTGCTAAGTGCTTTGAAAACAAGGATATAAGACAGAATAACTAAGGAAAACTACTTACGCTACTATAAACCACATAATGGAACAATCAGAAAGTCAAAATACCAATTCAACTGTAACTTAGAGTGGAAAGGAAGAGTGACAAGGAAAGAAAGCAGCCTATAAATTTAACAAGGTTATCCATCCAATTTGTGAAGGCAGTATGCATTTAACCTGCATAAAAAGTTTCAAAAAGTTAAGAATAAATTATTGAATGAACATACTCATTTATTGGGCCTGACCAGTCAGGAACTTCCGCTTGATACCCTTTGCCAAACCGAACACTGGTTGCATACGGCTCACTGTCTCTTAACATTAACAGTATAGGATTCACTTGGCCTTTAGATGATGCATTCCTACACATGACACTGGTGATATTCGGTGATTTTCTAGCCACTTTCTCCTTTAAAATTTGCTTCTTTCTCAAACAAGAATGGCAGAACCATTCATCAAAAGGTACTTTCTTTATACGGGGGTGGCAGCATGACATGTGAAATGCCTCTTCACAATTATCACAAATCAGCATTTTCAGAGCAGTTCCAGCACGACTACAAATTTTGCATGACCGATGACAGCTGTCACTGCAACTGGTACCAGTGTCTTCAGCAGAACGACAAATCCTGGTAGCCTGAACATCCCCAAGCAGTCCATGGCTTCTAAGAATAGAGATGCATAGATCCTTTTCAGACAGGTCTCCCACAGCTTCCATGACTATCACACTAGAAGAGGAGCACTCACCATTTTCATCTACTTCAGTCTTCATGGAAGTTGAAGCATGCTCCATATTTGACTTTGATGATGAGCAACTATCATTTACGCTGTTTACCTCTAACACTTTTCGCACATTGTTTTTAAGTGCTTCATCAGAAACTAATTCCTCACCAACAGAACATCCATTAAAAGATTCTGAACTTAAAACATGAGACTCTCTATTGCATAAATGAGGAGACGCTCCAGTGGCTTTAGTTTCATGCTCTATGTGCAAATCAACAAGTTGTTTCTTGGCAGCAATTGAAGGAACGATAAAATTTACAAAAGAACGATAATCACCAGTCCTTGTGTTTTCTCGATCTTCTGAAAATATGGTGACAGAGTTTCCTCCTAATTTCTTCCTTTTATATACGAGATTAGGTGCACTACTTTCGGACATTATTCTGACTGCTGACAGATGCTCCATATTTGACTTTGATGATGAGCAACTATCATTTACGCTGTTTGCCTCTAAAACTTTTTGCACATTGTTTTTAGGTGCTTCATCAGAAATTAATTCCCCACCAACAGAACATCCATTAAAAGATTCTGAATTTAAAACATGAGACTCTCTATTGCATAAATGAGGAGACACTCGAGTGGCTTTAGTTTCATGCTCTATCTGTGAATCAACAAGTTGTTTCTTACCAGTTCTTGTGTTTTCTCGATCTTCTGAAGGAACATTAAAATTTACAAAAGAAAGATAATCACCAGTTCTTGTGTTTCCTCGATCTTCTGAAAATATGGTGACAGAGTTTCCTCGTAATTTCCTCCTTTTATATACAAGATTAGGTGCACTACTTTCAGACATTATACTCACTGCTGACAGCTGGGAAGAACTTCTTGGAAAAAGTAAGGAGGGCAAATCATCAGTATTCTTGTTTTCCTTTGAGTTTAGTTGAGCTTTTCTGCAGCTGCAATGAAAGTCGCATTTTGTACACATCTGCCAAGTTTCAGCACCAGGCACCCAATTACATAAGACATCTTGTAACCCATGGTTAGATACACAAAATAGAGCAGCTTCAATTGAACTAGGAAGGGAACTCTGTATTAACATTTTCACCTGAAACAACCTCACTAATATCTGGTGCACGTTCTTATAAAGTCCCAGAGTAATTCACCCTCTTATATGTTTGAAATAGTAGTTTCATATATTACTGAAGAGGCATCCCCAAAAGTCTTCTCCATTCTATTGCACCAACCTCTGATTCCAAGAAGAAGAAAAAAAATTGTCAGTTTAAAGACAGGAATCAAACTCTAGAACTTCATGCACTTCCTTTTAATTTTTAAGACAAGTTTTTCAATGCAAAAGGTTTTAATTTCGAAACACCAAGTGAGTGCTAGGAAGAATGTAATCCAAAATGGGGAATAAAGAAATAGACAAAAGTCCGACTATCTTCATCTTCCAATCAAATGGTAACATTAAAAAAAAAAAAAAATTAAAAAAAAAATAAATAAATAATAATAATAATAATAATAATGAATGCTCTATCCCCTCAAAATAACAAAAAATTTGCTCCAGCCACAGACACCATGAAGAACGCAACGGTGGACTCCAACTTATGTCATTAGTCTTCTTGACAAACCATACATGAACTCCACAAACACATCAGCTGTAGCTATCATCACCCAAGGAATTCCAAAAAGACAGTGTGTGTGTGTGTGTGTGTGTGTGCGCGCGTGTGCGCGTGCGTGTGAGTCTGCGAGAGAGAGAGAGGATGAAAAATAGCATCATTTCCTAGCACACATGCAACAAAGAAATAGTGATTTACAGATTCCTCTGCTTGCTTTCACATACACAACTGATGGACAAGAGCGAGTTGTCCAATTACATTATCTATTGTTAAAACCTTACCCAAAGATGCTGTACAAGCAAAAGAAAATGCCTTAGGTGGGGCAGCATTACTCAAAATTTCTTTCCGCGGAAAGAGCACGGATTGAACACCAAATGGATCCCCTTTAGTATGGTTTATCCTTAAACACCCCCTTTCGGATAAACCTCATTTCATCCCCTCACCTCCAATATTACTCCCTAAGAGAAGTTTGAAAAAAATTAAAAACACCCCATAAATAATTAAATAAAATTGTTACGAGATGCTAAGTCATATAGAGACAGTGCATCCCATTGAAATTGTAAAGAGAAGAAGACCCATTTAAAAAAAACAAAAGTATTTATATGTCCCCTAGAAATAGAATAGTCCTCTCAATGACTTTCCTTTAACTCCATGACACAGTGCTACTCTTCAGATGCTATATGATATTTCTCTTAACACAAGCACTAGGACAAATGAAATGGTACTGCCTACCAAACCTCTCTATTATAATAAACCTGCAATTGAGCGTCAATGACACTTTTCAGCATCAGCATGAGACCCCAAAGAAATAACATATGTAATCCCATGGCTCCCTGGGCACTGAACAACAAAAATGTAAATGATACATGGTTCATTTTAGCTCCTACACATAGCATCTATTAACACTAACCAGAAGCTTCCCATTTCATCAAGTAATCATCAAAACTCTCGAATAGCAATATGGGGATGTGCCTGTCCCAAACTTTTCCACTGACAAGAATTTTAAATAGGTCTTTGCATCAAATTTCTTCCCCTTTTGTGAGTCCAGCTCAATTAGTCATCAAACCCCAATTCTACCACCTTCACCACTATTAAAGTCTTAAAAGGAATCCAACACAAAAAACAGCTCTCATTCATTCAGATTCTCTAAAAATACAGGGATCTGAGAGATACCACCTCCATCACACACAACCATTTTTATCAGCTGCCAAATCAAGAAAATCATTCTTCAAGGGGCAATTAGACATTGCATACCATTAAAAAAATGCACTTGCCTACAAACTGTTATCTGAAATCCATAATCTTCTACCATGTGATATAATAGTCTTTGTGCTAAAACCACCAAACTCCACTTCAGAATTCTTTTCCAAAAAATATCTCCACAAGCTCTGCAAGTCCACAGCATAAAAGAAAAGCTTCCAGATTCCATGGCCCCATTCTGCCTCAAGATGCAAGCAGTCCATCAACCCATCAAATTGCTCCAAATACTCCTATAAGAAGAGCTGTAATCCACTGAAATAGTTTCAGTTAATAACCCAAATGAGCCCTGTGCATGACAAAAGACCGAGAACATGCATATGCTCCATACCACCTTGGATTACATAAAAGTAATCACCTTGTAGCATGCCATAATATACAAATTTTGTTGAAATTTGTGCTGGGTATATTGATATCAATACAACCAGTATCAGCATAGTAATAGCACCATCTAAAATCACAATAGTTGACGCATCTGGTTAGCACAAAGTCAACAATGAAAATTGTGGCTCGAAGAGAATAACTAACTTAGAATTAAGGCATGGCATGAGACACCAACTCAAAAGGCACAACTATAAGAAGAAATTTTGGTTGTTTTCGTCAACTTCCCATGTTGTTGATGTCTTGGATTGGAGAAATCCATGATATCTATTTGCAATACAATGAAATATAAGGATAAATTTAACTTAAACCTCCAAGAGGATTTTCCTAGAACTTCTGCTGATATTCGATACCTCATCATCTACTGCATTCAGTGCAACATTTTTCTTTTTCTTTTTCAGATGTGTAATCTAATTAAAAATCATAATAATTAGACAAACTAAACATTGAGAAATGCTATATGTAATAAAAATGCAGTCTGCTACAAACACCAAATTCAAGGTGAATGAATTATTGTGTAATGCAACACGTAACTTCAAAAATTCAATTGGCATGTCCACCTGTAAACATAATGCAGTAAAACTTCGTACAACTCTACATATTTCCCTCATCTATTTCCTGCACATACTTAGATGAACATCTTTTTCTATTCCAATACTTGGAAACCTAATAAAATTGAAAATTAAGATTGTTTATATTTAAGGAATGCCATTTACAAGGAAACCATTTGCATGATACCAAAAAATAAAATGTTCTTGCACATATAGAATCTATTAACTAGCACCATCCCGTTTAGATCAAATATTCGATCATCAGAATCCTATAATGAATGATGTTCCCTGTCCCAAATCTTTCTAGTGAAAAGAGTCCGGATTCAAACCCAAAAGAGCACTAACAAAAGTCTTCGCGCCCCATTAAAACTCCACTTCACCCACCATCCCCCAGTCCACCAACCTTTCCTCCAATTAAAGTCTTAAAAGAAATCCTTAACCAAACCCAGTTCCTAGTCATTCAAATTTTCTTAGACATTCAAACATATGATTTCAATAGGTACACCTTCATCATACACCAAACTGTTCTCATCAGCTGCAAAATAAAACAAGGGGTATTTCCACACCACGTATGATGCATAAAATGCATTTGCCTACCAACTGTTATCTGAAATCCGTAATCTGCTACCACTTGATATAACAACCATTGTCCTCAAAGCACCGAACTCCTCATCAGAATTATTTTCCAAATCATATCTCCACAAGCTCTCCAAGTCCTCAGCATAAAAGCAACTGAACTTCCAGTTTTCCAAGCCCCTGTTCTTCCTCAGGAGGCAACCAGGACTTCAACCCATCAAATTATCCCAAACTTTCAAACCCCTAGAAAAAGAGAAGTGATGCACTGCAATGATTTAGTTATTAATCATAACAAGCCCTATGGATACTGGAAAGACCCATAACTTACAATATTTAAGCACAAGGACAACATAAAGTACTCACTTTGTAGCATGCCATATCCAAGATGATACATCAAAATTTGTCCAAATTGACACCAGGTATATATTAATAATAAATTGTTACGTCAATACAGCAACCAGTATCAGCACCATCTTATTGCCATCTACAATCAACATATTTGACGCACCTAAGTTCCTCGTTAAGACTAAAAGAAATAATAAACTTGACTGTGCAAAATGTAACCAGAAGAGAATACCTAAAACAGAATAAGGTTGTGGGCATGAGCCACCAACTCATAAAGCATAACCGTATGTAAAACTTTTGGTTCTTTTTGTCAACTTAACATATTATCTATGCCTTGGACCAATATGTGGAGTCTATTTGCCTACAACTTCTCCATATAGTCAATAACCCATCATCTACTGCGGTGAAAGCAGAATTTTCTCTTTTTTTTCTACCAGATGCACAATAAATTGAAAAAAGAGCATATTAATTGATAAAGGATATGGGTGAACTGTAGATTTAGGCAGATTAGCGGAAGCGAAAACAATGAAAACAGAAAATTAAATGAATAAAGATAGGTATGGAATCACTCCAGGGGCTTCACACTAAGGGGTTTGGCTTCAAACCAGAATTCCAATCTCTGGAAAATAAAACTCTGAATTCCAAAGAACTACATGGGGGGTATTTATAGCAAACTAAAACCTAGAGACAATAGGATAAAAATCCCTTGATAAAACTGAAATCCTAACCCAAATAAATTAGGAAACTAGAAATCCTACTGAGATCTGGAAAACCAAAAATACTACTGAAATGTGGAAAACTAGAGAACCTAGGAAACTAACAAAGAAGGAAAGCTGCTCTAAAATTTCAACCCAACCATAATGATAATGTTGGATTGGCTGATTGTTTCCTCCTTCGTTGATAAACCTTAAGAGGTTTGTTATGGATGTTCGCATCATTAATTAGAAAGATTTGACACTTACTTACTCAGAAATGCTATATGGACTAAAACCTAGTATATCTATTTCACAAATTGCAAGGAGGCATGCTACCAAGACCAAATTCAAGGTGGGTTGGGTAGTGTGTAATGCAATACACAACTTTAAATTCAACACGTCTCTTATGCAATATCGTAGAACGCCACATGTTTCCTTCACTAGTTTCCTGCACATGCTTAGACGCATGTCTTTATTTTCTCGTAGTGCTTGAAAATTTAATAACATTGAAAAATACAGATTCTTTGCATTCAAGTATTACTACTTAAAAGGAAACTGTTTATACGACACCAATAGGGAATCTAGATACATGCAATTACAATTTTACCGAATTTTGGAGCTTCTCTATAAAGTAAAAACATGCACGTAATAGCTATATATATCAAACAGAATATAGAAGGAAAAACAGCATTACAGTGACTCTAACCAAATCTTAAAAATGTTCGGAGAACATAAACTTGCCAAATTCTCTACTTTTCCAATGCTTTCTTCATAGACACCGTGATGGATGGGAAATAAATACAAAGACCACATAAAACTCAATCACTCAAACTGTTCCACACACACCTACTGAAATCTGCTTCTGATAATAAGTGAGATTCAACAACAATTTCAGGAACCAGAAACAAAGGTTACAGATTTCTCTTTTCCTTTGTTCTTGTATCAAAACTAAACCAACTTAGTGTGAATTCCATCTAATAACTGATGGGCAGAGACATACAAATGGACCCAATTTCGTCAACCCCAAAGGGAAAAGCGAGCCCAGATCCGTATCTCAAATGGGGTTTATAATAAACCGTTTATCTCAATTCCAACAATAAATGGCATCAATGATTGCAATTAATCGACCAAATTCATAGGGCAAAATTATGACATGCAACAAAGAGTAAAGCATATCAAACTAAACTAAGAAAACGAAGAACAAGAAAAATAAGTAAAAAAGAAATTGACACAACATTACCATGGATGTCCAAAGGCCCAACACAGAGAAGAAGAGGAACTTTATCGTCTCTTGAACGCTTTCAACTAGAAATGAGAATGTTGCAGAGAAGCATTTGGCAGTTCTGTTCTGTTGACAGACAGAGAAGAAGAACAAGGGTTTACGGAAACAAACGAAGACGGTGGGAGATGGGTTTTATGGCCTTTACACTTTGGCTTTGGGTTTTTTCTTTGGTATGGTTCAAAAACCAAACTAATTTGATTAACCAATTTAACCCAATCAATTTATTTATTTATTTATTTTTTTTTTTTTTTTTTTTTTTTTTTTTTTTTTTTATCTCAAATTGTATCTAATTGAAATTAAATATATTATAATACCTTTGGGCCGAGTCACCTTAATACTATTTCCCAGCCTGAAAAAGAGAATTGGTTGTAGACGTATAAGAACATAATAATTTAATTCTACAATGAGGCTAAACTTAATCAAATGACCGGCAACAAAGTTATCCTCTATAAAAGTACAGATCTTGCACATCAAGCGTGACCATCCCTAATGAGAGTAAAAAGAGATTGGCATGCATGATCATGTTGTTTAACCAATTATTGTTTACCCCAAATAGCTTTACCGTAGCCATAGGTCAAGAAATTTGTTTACCCCAAATCGCTTTACCGTAGCCATAGGTCAAGAAATTGTGTGACATGCGAGCGTGCCACTATTAGCATTCGAGATAGTCTAATAGATTGATTAATAAATAATTACTTGCGTCTTAAGTAACCTGACTCTCAATCAAACTACTGAATTCCGAGTGGGACGCTAGCATAGATTAGTTCCCATCTATTTAAGGACTATTATTTAGTGTAAATACGAAATACAGAATTCGATTCAATCATAAACAGTTGTGAAATAGAATAACAAAGACTGAATCACTACTGTAAAAGTAATAGCAACAAATCTTGTTATGGAGTGGATACATAACATGAAAACAAACCAAATTAAACTGAAAGTAGGCAATGAAAACCGGATTTGGCCGAAGAGTCGTTAATTTGGACTGACCAGTTGCAGTAGAGAAACAAGAATTATACATGGGATTGATCATCAACTAGAAATTATACCAAAAGCAAGGCTATGGTAAAATTTCGCATGAGTTGTCAACTGGTTTGGAATTCTATTTGGGATCAATGTGATAAATTTGATATAAATTATGATAATTATGGTTAGGATCTCTCTCTTCTTTCTCTCTTCCTTTTCTGGATCTTCTGAAAATATGGTGACACAGTTTCTTCGTAATTTCCTCCTTTTATATACGAGATTAGGTGCACTACTTTCAGACATTATACTGACTGCTGACAGCTGGGAAGAACCTCTTGGAAAAAGTAAGGATGGCAAATCATCAGTGTTCTTATTTTCCTTTGAGTTTAATTGAGCTTTTATGCAGCTGCAATGAGAGTCGCATTTTGTACACATCTGCCGAGTTTCAGCACCAGGCACCCAATTACATAAGACATCTTGTGACCCATGGTTAAAATACACAAAATAGAGCAGCTTCAATTGAACTAGGAAAGGAACTCTGTATTAACATTTTCACCTGAAGCAACCTCACTAATATCTGGTGCACGTTCTTCTAAAGTCCCGGAGTAATTCACCCTCTTATATGTTTGAAATAGGAGTTTCATATATTACTGAAGAGGCATCCCCAAAAGTTGCACCAACCTCTGTTTCCAAGAAGGAAAAAAAATGTCAGTTTAAACACAGGAATCAAACTCTAGAACTTCATGCACTTCCTTTTAATTTTTAAGACAAGTTTTTCAATGCATAAGGTTTTAATTTCAAAACATCAAGCGAGCGCAAGGAAGAACGTAATCCAAAATGGGGAATAAAGAAAAAGAAAAATTCAGACTATCTTCATCTTCCAATCAAATGGTAACCTAAAAAATTCATGTTTCACTTCCATAATGAATGCTCTATCCCCTCAAAATAACAAAAAATTTGCTCCAGCCACAGACACCATGAAGAACGCAACGGTGGACTCCAACTTATGTTATTAGTCTTCTTGACAAACCATACATGGACTCCACAAACACATCAGCTGTAGCTATCATCACCCAAGGAATTCCAAAAAGACTCTGCGTGCGTGTGTGTGTGTGTGTGTGTGTGTGTGTGTGTGTGAGAGAGAGAGAGAGAGAGAGGATGACAAATAGCATCATTTCCTAGCAAACATGCAACAAAGAAATAGTGATTTACAGATTCCTCTGCTTGCTTTCACAAACACAACTGATGGACAAGTGCGAGTTGTCCAATTACATTATCTATTGTTAAAACCTTACCCAAAGATGCTGTACAAGCAAAAGAAGCTACCTTAGGTGGGGCAGCATTACACAAAATTTCTTTCCGTGGAAAGAGCAAGGATTGAACACCAAATGGATTCCCTTTAGTATGGTTTATCCTTAAACACCCCCATTTTGGATAAACCCCATTTCATCCCCTCACCTCCAATATTACTCCCTAAGAGAAGTTTGAAAAAATTAAAAACACCTCATAAATAATTAAAATAAAATTGTTACGAGGTGCTAACATAAGTCATATAGAGACGGTGCATCCCATTGAAATTGTAAAGAGAAGAAGAACCAATTAAAAACAAAAAAACAAAAGTATTTATATGTCCCCTAGAAATAGAATAATCCTCTCAATGAATTCCTTTAACCTCATGACACAGTGCTACTCTTCAAATGCTATATGATATTTCTCCTAACACAAACACAAGGACAAATGAAAAGGTACTGCCTACCAAACCTCTCTATTATAATAAACCTGCAATTGAACGTCAATGACACTTTTCAGCATCAGCATGAGAGCACAAAGATATAACATATGTAATCCCATAGCTCCCTGGGCACTGAACAATAAAAATGTAAATGATACATGGTTCATTTTAGCTCTTACACATAGCATCTATTAACACTAACCAGAAGCTTCCCATTTTCATCAAGTAATCATCAAAACTCTCTAATGAGCACAATCCAAATAAAAAGTTGGGGGGAATGTGCCTGTCCCAAACTTTTCCACTGAAAAGAATTTTAAAAAGGTCTTTGCATCAAATTTCTTCCCCTATTGAAAGTCCAACTCAATTAGTCATCGAACCCCAATTCTACAACCTTCACCGCTATTAAAGTCTTAAAAGGAATCCAACACAAAAACCAGCTCTCATTCATTCAGATTCTCTAAAAATATAGGGATCTGAGAGATACCATCTCCATCACACACAACCATTTTTATCAGCTGCCAAATCAAGAAAAGCATTCTTCAAAGGGCAATTAGACATGTCATACCATGAAAAAAATGCACTTGCCTACCAACTGTTATCTGAAATCCATAATCCTCTACCATGTGATATGTCTTTGTGCTACAGCCACCAAACTCCTCTTCAGAATTCTTTTCCAAAAAAGATCTCCACAAGCTCTGCAAGTCCACGGCATAAAAGCAAAGCTTCCAGATTCCAAACCCCCATTCTGCCCCAAGAGGCAAGCAGTTCATCAACCCATCAAATTTCTCCAAATTTCAAAACTCCTAAAAGAAGAGCAGTAATCCACTGCGATAGTTTCAGTTAATAACCCAAATGAGCCCTGTGCATGACAAAAGACCGAGAACATGCATATGTTCCATACCACCTTGGATGATATAAAAGTAATCACCCTGTAGCATGCCATAAAATCACCATCTAAAATCACCATAGTTGAGACATGAGACACCTAAATTTCTGGTTCACACAAATTCAACTCAGAAAACATAACTATAAGAAGAAATTTTGGTTGTTTTCGTCAACTTCCCATGTTGTTGATGTCTTGGATTGGAGAAATCCATGATATCTATTTGCAATACAATGGAATATCAGGATAAATTTAACTTAAACCTCCAAGAGGATTTTCCTAGAACTTCTACTGATAGTCGATACCTCATCATCTACTGCACTCAGTGCAACATTTTCCTTTTTCTTTTTCAGATGCATAATCTAATTAAAAAGCATAATAATTAGACAAACTAAACATTGAGAAGTGCTATATGCAATAAAAATGCAGTCTGCTATAAACACCAAATTCAAGGTGAGTGAATTATTGTGTAATGCAACACATAACTTCAAAAATTCAACTGGCATGTCCACCTGTAAACATAATGCAGTAAAACTTTACTCAATAACTCAACTTTGAATTCCAAAGAACTACATTGGGGGGTATTTATAGCAAACTAAAACCTAGAGACAATAGGATAAAAATCCCTTGATAAAACTAAAAATCCTACTGAGATCTGGAAAACTAAAAATACTACTGAAATGTGGAAAACTAGAGAACCTAGGAAACTAACAAAGAAGGAAAGCTGCTCTAAAATTTCAACCCAACCATAATGATAATGTTGGATTGGCTGATCGTTTCCTCCTTCGTTGATAAACCTTAAGAGGTTTGTTATGGATGCCCGCATCATTAATTAGACAGATTTGACACTTATTTACTCAGAAATGCTATATGGACTAAAACCTAGTATATCTATTTCACAAATTACAAGTAGGCATGCTACCAAGACCAAATTCAAGGTGGGTTGGGTAGTGTGTAATGCAATACACAACTTTAAATTCAACACGTCTCTTATGCAATATCGTAGAACGCCACATGTTTCCTTCATTAGTTTCCTGCACATGCTTAGACGCATGTCTTTATTTTCTCGTAGTGCTTGAAAATTTAATAACATTGAAAAATACAGATTCTTTGCATTCAAGTATTACTACTTAAAAGGAAACTGTTTATACGACACCAATAGGAATCTAGATACATACATGCAATTACAATTTTACCGAATTGGAGCTTCTATAAAGTAAAAACATACACGAAATAGCTATATATATCAAACAGAATATAGAAGGAAAAACAGTATTACAGTTACTCTAACCAAATCTTAAAAATGTTTGGAGAACATAAACTTGCCAAATTCTCTACTTTTCCAATGCTTTCTTCATAGACACCGTGATGGATAGGAAATAAATACAAAGACCACAGAAAAATCAATCACTCAAACTGTTCCACACACACCTACTGAAGTCTGCTTCTGACAGTAAGTGAGATTCAACAACAATTTCAGGCACCAGAAACAAAGGTTACAGGTTCTCTTTTCCTTTGTTCTTATATCAAAACTAAACCAACTTAGTGTGAATTCCATCTAATAACTGATGGGCAGAGACATGCAAATGGACCCAATTTCGTCAACCCCAAAGGGGTAAAGCGAGCCCAAATCCGTATCTCAAATGGGGCTTATCTCAATTCCAACAATAAATGGCATCAATGATTGCAATTAATCGAACAAATTCATTGGGCAAAATTATGACATGCAACAAAGAGTAAAGCCTATCAAACTAAACTAAGAAAACGAAGAACAAGAAAAAGAAAAAGAAATTGGCACAACATTACCATGGATGGCCAATCCAAACGCCCAACACAGAGAAGAAGAGAAACTTTTTCGTTTCTTAAACGCTTTCAACTAGAAATGAGAATGTTGCAGAGGAGCATTTGGCTGTTCTGTTGACAGACAGAGAAGAGGAACAAGGGTTTACGGAAACAAACGAAGACGGTGGGAGATGGGTTTTATGGCCTTTACACTTGGCTTTGGGGTTTTCTTTGATACGGTTCAAAAACCAAACTAATTTGATTAACCAATATAACCCAAAATCGTATAGCAGGCCGGCTATATGTAAAAATTAAAGAAAAACAAAAGTATAGCCGGGCGGCTATACGATTCTTAAAAATAAAATAAAAAGTATAAGTATAGGAGCACGACGATACATAAAATAAATAAATAAATTAGTATTGCCAGCGGCTATATTATTTTTAATTTTTTATATCGGCGCGGCAATACTTTTTAAATATATTTGAATATTTAAATAGTATAGTTGTTGGGACTAGACTATATTTTTTATTTTATTTTTAAGTATAGTAGCGCGGCGAGACTATTTTTATTTATTTAATGTATAGTCACGCGCGCATACTTATATAGCTGACTTATTCTTGGGTAATAAAAATAGAGATATTTAGTGATATACCCATTTCTAGCACTAATATTATAAATAAACCCTACACAATTGAATTTATATAAACAAACCCAAAAAAAACCCAAAAAATGACAGCTGACCTTATTGAATTTAATATTGATTATTAAATTACTTTGATGTCATATTAAGTGTTTTGGGTATTTTTATGAGATTTTGGAGTTGGGCTTGTTTTAAGAAATTGATGGCAGTTTTGTTATTTATAAGAAATTAAAAGCTTTTTTGTCATGTTGTAAATGGGCTTTGGGTGTGTTTCTAAAGTCCATTTCATATGGGGTATTTTTATAATTTGGGCCCTCATATTGGGTATAATAGTGAATCTCCCTAAAAAATAATTATATTTCTTATTGTACACACAATGTTACCTTATATTTACCTCTCAAGAAGAGGAAGAATAACATGTGATGGAAGTCCTTTGAGTAAAACCATGTATATCATTATATTTTATCAAATTAACTTCAGAGTAAACTGGACTTGAGTAAACTTCATGTGTACTTCAATTAAACAAAAGAATTCTTCTCTTTGTTGAAACTTTCGATGAAGTGTTCCAGCTTTAGATTTTGCTTGTGTTTGATGTCTCTTCATATGTTTCCATGAGAAGTTTGAAGAGAGACGCACATTTTCTGAACCTCTGTCAAAGTTTCCATCCACTTTCCGTTTTGAAATCCTGAAGTATTGAGCTCAGGCTTGTGCAAACCTTAAGAAGGTCCAGAACTTTATTTGAACTGTTAATCCAAATGAACAATTTTTATTAGGTTAAGCGGACTGAACAGTAAATAAAAATAAAAATAAACAAATAAAATAAAAAAAGAAGGTGATAAATAGAAGGTAACAAAAACAAAAACTGAAAAGCAAGCAAACAATCAAATACAAAGAGAAATGAATTTCAACAGACTCAGCCTCACCATTGTTCATTGTGTTGCCTGTTGAGCAAGAGGCCTATGAGGCTTTGGAGCTGAAAGAAACCAAAGAATACAATCAATTAAATACTTCAGCTAGAAAATGAATATTCTAAGCAACAAAAATATGTTAACAACTAACAAAGGTTGTCAGCATAACATGAATTTTTCTACATGCTATTGGAATCACTCAATGAGAAAAGGAGTTGACAAACTAAACAAATTAACAATTCCCTATAGAGGCATGATGTCCAAAAAAACTTAAATCATGAATAAACTAGATACCATTAGGATTTCCCTGCTCGTAAAAACTACGAAAAAGAGAGACTGCTTCTGATGCCATTATCCCTCCATTGCATTTGAATCCTTTACCTCTTGGAGCTCCACCACTACAACAAAGGGAAAGTAAAAACTGAGAAAGCCCCACTACATGAATGGTGTGATGCAACAATCATGTTGAATAAGATCAGAGGAAGAACATTATACTGCATTAGTAATTTTCGTTTAGAGTATACTGCACCAACACAGCAATGACAGACATAACAAGTAAAAATATATATTTGAAACACTCAGAGAATGCAGTGTCGAGAAGACTATAACTTGTGTGCTTTTCTATAATTGCTAAAGGCACTTAAAAATTCCATTTACAGACAGTGTATTTACACAAATATGCCTGAACTATTCTCATCAGCACAATCTCGAAAATGAAAAGATTTCATCAGGCATCCTAAACACACCATCTTTGGTAAAAATATTTCATATCTTGTCATATTAAATTGTAGATGCAATTATGTGCACATAAGGATAAAATGTATTCTGTCCATGAATCTTGGTGTGTGAGTGAGTGTGTGTCAAGGAAACAATTTGTAAAAAAAGTAACGACTAGTGAAGACACCGCAAAAAATCAGTTAATTCTTGTTGTGAGGTTGGGTTCAGAAAGAAACCCAATGAGTGGCTCAGAGCTACTTGAGTGCAATGACAATATTGATCCACACCCGCCAAATTTATCATTGCCACAGCCATAAAATACTTCCTTTATTCCTAAAGAAGGGAAGAAGAGTCACCTATATTAGTGGCAAGAGGAAAGAGAAAAAAGTGTCGAAATTTATTAACAAAATTTTAAGAAAAGGGGCATACCAATGAATGATAAAGCCGCTGCACACATTATACATGGTTCACATGTAACATAAAGTTTACATTTTGAAAAAGTTTTGGCAACTTCTGACTGTGAAAGCCTCTTTTCTCTCCACTGCTCAAGAAGGGTATCAATGGCTTCCATCTCTGCATGCCTTGTAGCCTGCATTTTTATGGCAAGCATATTAAACTAGAAACTAAATTTCCAAAGGCTTACATATGAAGCAGACTTCCTGGACATAAAACAAAGCAAAGAAGTGCCAAACAGAGATCACATCTTATAAATTATTATAATAATTTAAGAAGAAAAAAAATACTTACAAGAAAACCCTATAGAATGCATTACGTTCTTAATGATAATCACATATAACTTACGGTCTAGCTCCAATTAGTTGAATTAGCCTCAGTCATCCCACAAAAAATAATTAAGGTCACCGAGAAAATGCATTAACTGGACCCCATCTTTTTTATGCGGTTCCAAGGAAAACTGTTTTTCGGAGAAAGATGCAACTGAAATGCGAGAGATTATCCTCATGAAGCAATCTAGAGAGGCGTGGCTAGTCGTTAAATGAGAAGCCTCAAAAATTCAAATACACAGGAAAAATTGCTTCTTCATTTTAAAAACAGTCTGTATATAGATAAAGTTACCAACAAGAACCAAGGAAAAAAAAAGAGAGGAACCAATGGTAAATTTACATTTCGTGTCTCAGTTGTTCGATTTCTTCCAGATGCTATGACCTTGCCATCTTCAACAATCACACAGCTGATCAATCAAATTTATTGATTAGAAGATGCACTGACATAGTCACATTCTTGACTTCTAACAAAAGAAGCAAATTTCAAGCATACTGTATGAAATTTCAATGATGTGATCAATAGGGTTTCAATAATGTGATAGGATCAATATATAAGATAGGCATATGATACTTAAATTATGAGTAACAGGCATGCTTTCAAAATTCAGAAGAAAATAATATTTTGCACTAAACTATATACTTAGGAACAAGGTAAAGCTGAACATTTCCAGATGTTATATGATTAAAGAAAAAGGCCAAAAAAGGTGAGTATAAAACCCAAATAAATAAAGACTCTTAAAACCAGGACAATTATATAATTACCAGAAATCTTACCCAACAGGAACTTCGAAGCAGTCCATAGCCACCTTTGCCTACAATAAGAAAGCAAGACCAAATATAAAAGTTATATACCTGCAAGGGTAGCAAATTTAAGCACCCAAAATGACAATGAAAAATAATAAAGTAAAGACATTGTGTGCACAGCAGTTGAATCCACATGATGCATAGTGTTGCCATCAGCTGAAACACAAATTTCTGTTAGATGATTGGAACTAATGATAACACAAATGGACAAAGATAAACAACAAACACCAGACTCAATCCTACTATAAAAGGGGGGAAATAAAAGCCAACTTGGCACTCATTTTGGCTCAGAAATGTAAAGAAATCTCAGTGAATGGCATTGGCAGATAAAAAATTACTAACATCACCAGGCCAGTCCATCATTGATACATCAAACTTGGGTATTTGTAAGGAACACAATATTTTCACAACTTAAAATCCTGGAAATTGAAGCCAAATCACCTCCCACAGTTTATAAGCCTCTACCATGCCATAGGTCAGGATGTCTATGGTATGTATCTATCGTGACTAAATTTAGTCCTTTCTATTACAATCAAACACTAATTTAATATTGCAGCCTGCAAGTAGGAAGTCTCGGAATTACCTGTTCTATAGCAAGAAGCATAAATGTAAGAGTATTGTCAGGGTACTCTTCCCCGAGAGATGACATCTATGAAAAATACACAGGGGAAGACTGAAAAGGCAAAACATACTAGCAGTTAGAAGATAATAGAACAAAAGGAGAGACAATTCTACTGTAACTACAGAATAAACTTTAGTTTGGCTTGAAATACGCCAAATTGCATACTCAGGATCTCTCAAGCCTAATTTGTCACCAATTACAAGGAGTAATAAGGATTTGAGGCATTAGAAGCTGGAACATTTAGGGGATTTCTCATAAAAATCTTATTTCAGAGAATTTTAGTTGATAATTTGGATCTACCAGCCTTTGATCCAGCTGAAGCGATTTGGGAACAAAAAGTTCCGACTAAGGTGAAGATTTTGAGTTTGGGCTAGCGGCTCACAAGAGGGTGAATGCCTGTGATTTCCTTCAGAAAAGGAGACATAACATTACCAGTAACCCCACTTACAAAAGGATAAAAATGGAGCACTAGTTTGGGACAACCATGGATGGTCCCTTAAAAGCTTCTTGGTTAGCCTCCTAGTAACCAATTGCCAAATCTATCTCAAAACATATTCATGATATATTAATAATATAATCAAATCTTCCCTAAATGGGGAAGTACAATAACTCATGTGCTGGGAAATTTTGCAAGTTGATTCAGGAGTATTTTAACCACAGATATTGAGGTGATGAAGGCCTGCCTCCTCCTCAGACTCTATGATTACATTACATACATGAAATGTGTATGTTATATGAAAAAATAACATGAAAAATCACCAATAAAACTAGAATATAAATGCAAAGTGACATTCTTTCGAGTGTTTTTTCTCCAGAAGGGTGTTGGGTGCATGCTCTCTCTCAATCAACAACCTCAACACCAAACACCGAAAATGTTTTCAACCATTTTCAACGCTCTTCAACCTCATAACACACAACATTCTCAGAACCCATTTGAAGAATTGGATTAAACTATCTAAAGCTTTTCTTTTTTAAATAAAAGAAAATTACTTTAAGACTTACTTTGGCAGCAGTGACGACGGCGGTTAACGCCCTTTTTGTTTCTGTCAAATGCGTTGGGTTTGTTTGTCAGTCTCTATTTCTTCCTCTTTTACTGCAAAACTAATTGTAGGAATAATGATCCAATTAGTCAAACTTGAATTATAGATAAACTTTTGAGATAAAAATAATAATAATAATAATTTAGCCAAAACCATAAAACAAAAACCAATTACTAGCCACATCCATACAACCCATACATCAGTGCTTTCTATTTTCTCGATTCCAACCTTAGTCATTTCCAGCGAAACCCAAATATTTTTAGTAAGCAATCCCATACCATAAAGAGAATTAGAAAACTTTGTATAAGCAAAATGGAAAATACCCAGCGGTATATCAGAAAGCAAAATTAAAAAACGAAGAGGAGCAGCTACGATAGAAATATTCGAACCTGGAGGAACAGCTATGATATTGCCAGGGACGAAAGCACATGGAAGAGAAGCTGTTGTGGTGGAAGAGAGAAACACAGGTTAGTGGATTCGAGGTGTAGAAGCAGAGATGGAACCACAGTGGGGTCACGAGGTCAAACGACCCTAAAAAAAGCCATGGAAATAGGCTTGGAGGTCTACCTGAACCGGTGGTGCGATCCTATGGACTGCCTTCCAACTGCTCGATGTTTTGCCTGAGGAAGAAGAAGCCTACTGCGCTTCAATATTTTCTAGGCTTAATTACACCACCCTTCCCTCCCCTCCTTTCCCTCCTTTGAGAGTACAATAGCCGCGCGGCTATACTATTGGGAAAAAAGGGGGGACCCGCCTCGCGCCCAAGAAGCGTCCCGGTGGCGCGTGTCAAAACCGCATGGCTATACTCTTTTTATAAGCCGCCCGGTATACTCTTTAAGCATATTATATTTAAAAGTAGTATAGCCGCCCGGCTATACTATTTATTAAAACAAATTATATTAAAAAACCCACAACTCCGTCCAAAACTTTGTTAAATCTGATGACGTGGCAAGAGTGTTTGAGTAATTTTGTATGCTTGGGCTATTTTATGCTTACGAGGACTCCACATAAGCAATAAACTAATCAAAAAATTAAAAACAACAATAAAAATTCATAAAGCCAAAAGAAAAAAGAAACAAAATTTTTATAAAAAAAATTAGTAAGAAATTAAATCTCTACAACCACTATCTCCCACAATATTTCCCACGCTGCCCGCGCCACCCTCAAGTCTTCAACCCGCCCATGGTAGACCACACCCCAACACGCACCAATCTGCCACAATTCCCCCTACAAACCTGGCAAACGCCATCCCCTACTAGATCCAATCATTCACAGCCCATACACACAACAAATGGATCAAAACCCATGAATATCCAGAAAACAAAAGCAAAAAACCTCATTTGTATGCAATCTCCTTTTACGAGATTAGCATGTCAATTAAGGGAGAAGGGGGAGCACCATCCCTTCCTCTTTATCTCTTTTTTCCATCACAGGTGGCCCACCCCCACAACTCAACAACATAGTCTCCCACACCATAGTCCAAAAGAGGAGATTGAGAGGTTGTGAAGAAAAGTAAAAAAGAAAGAGATTGAGGGGCGGCAGATCTGGATTATATGCCCCTTGATTCTTGCTTGTTTTTGAATTTCAGTGTCGTTGGTAGAGACTGGATTGCGAAGGTGATAGGGCTTGAATTTGGGGTGGCTAGTGCTGCTGCGTTTGCTGACGGGGGTGGTGGTGCGATGGGGAGAAGATGGTGGTTGCTGGCTTTTTTTATTATTATTTCAATTTAGGCTCTTATAAAAAAAAATTTTAATTATTTTAAAAGGGCCACATGGATGAAATTACCAAAATGCCCACGTCATCAGATATAACATAATTTTAGATGGAATTGACGGCGGGGGCAAAGTGGGTTATCAAACCACAATCAAGGGAGTAAGTGGGGTTATCAAACCACAATCAAGGGAGTAAGTGGGCCATTTTAAGTGAAGAAAAAAAAACACAAAAAGGGCCAGATGTCCTATTTTTTAAAATTAAATGAGGTGTAAAATACCATTAATATCCTTGCAATATGATTTTAAGAAACACGAACTTCAGCGGCAGTGTTGTAATTTTAAAGCTTTTCAAAGCTCTTATGGTAATTTTTGACCCCATTGAAAAATCAATTGGGTTTTTCCCTATGATTGAAGTATTATAGGGTTCATTTATAATTTAGGCCCCATTTATGGGCATTCAGAAACCTAAACCCTAATATAGAAGAAAACAACCCACTTGAATTTCAAGTAACATAACTTCATTTATGTGCTACTTTTGCCTCCAACAACAAAATCTCTTGACCTATAAGGTATGCATGACTTTAGAACCAAGTAGAAAATTAAGTATCTTTGTAAGACTAGAAAAAAAGAAAAGAAAAAAAAAGAGATACATGTATGAAAATGAGAACCTAGACTAAAGATGTTGGTGATTCTCCATGCTCCCCTTCTTTACTTAACTAGTCTCCATCTCTTTGGCTTCTTAGTGTGAGAGAAATATAAAAATAAAAGAAGAAATTAATACAAGAAAATGAAAAATGGAAAAAGAGATCAGAAGTGTGATGGCCACAATCCAAAACAAGCATTTATGCTATTTCCTTTTGTCTTTGACCATTGGTGCTAGAATGAGGCCTTCTAACAAACCGTCCCTGAAACGAAACAAGGAAGACCAATCTGAGTTAGACAAAGAGATCAGACAAATAGACTTACTATGATAGGGAACAAAAGTTATTCTATTTAAAGTTTCAATTGAACCTTTCCTTGTCAGTGAGGAAAAAAAAATTGAATTTTATGTATAAGAATCTCAATATACAAGAATTCGCAAATGTTTTGATTTTATCTCCTTTAAAAACATTGAGAGGCTGACGTGCTTACCATCTTTAAATATATTTTCGAGAAGTTAATTTGGAAGTAGAATCAAAGACGGACCCTAAAAATGGGCAACCGGAGCTATATAGCCCATGTGACTTGTATGTTTGTAAGCCTAAACTAAAACATTAGCCCACCCACATATAGCCTTTCCACACTTTACGCATCCCCTTCTTCCTTCTTTTTTTGTTGTTCTGTTGCAATAGCCAAACATTCCTTCAGTTTTATTTCTCTAAGGCCAAAATAAAATATCATCCCACCCAAATCCCACCCCACTTACGCATAAATAAACCCTTCGTCTTTTTTTTTTTTTTTTTTTTTTTTTTTTTTTTTTTGTTTTTTTTTTTTTTAGTTCCAATACCCAACCACTCCTGTTCGTAGAAAAAAAAAAGCAGAAGTAGAATTTGGAGTATATATTCTCTTAGGACTACGTCCACTAAAAGTAAAGGAATATTCATGTTGTTTTCAAATAAAACGTCGATTTAATGGTAGTCTTTTTTGTTTTACTAGTTTCTATTCATATGTACTCCTCAATAGGGTATTTTATTTTATCAATGAAATTCATTTGTACTGTCGAGTTTTGTATCTTCTTAAAATATTTGTACGTAATGTAAATTTAGCCCACCCCTTTTTCAAATCCTAAATCCATCCCTGAATAAAATGATGGGGGTGTAAATTTAGTTTCATTCTCGGCGAGCTTGTAAATTTAGTTCTTCGGTACCCTAGAGTTTTTTTCCTTATAATGTTTTTCTTTTCCTTATGAAAAAAATTCGCAATTTTTAGAATTAGGTTTATTGAAAAGCACAAAAACTTGGATTATTCACACTATCTAGTAAATTTTAACCAAAAAACAAAAACAAGCTACTAAATAGAGAGATAGAGAGTGACAAAAAAGAAAAAGGAGAAAAGGAGAAGACATAAATTGGAGGAAAAAGAAATTAAAGTAGTTTGATTGCATTGTATCTTTTATCTTATCATGTGACTTGTGTTGCAATGTAAATTATCACACCCATCATGCCATTATTATTATTATTATTCATTTGGACTCAACTCAACAATGAGAAATTTGTAACACTTAAATTTTTTATTTTTTATTTATAAAAGTACCTTCATTCTGGGCCGTCGATCCGCGTTGACTTTTCTGACTTGGTACCTGATCTTCTTAGAAAAGAGGCGTGTACGCCGTTTTTCCTTGTAGCGCAGCACGCTAGCCTCTCTCAGTCCTCCGGCGTCTGAGAATAAATCAATCTGCGCTAGCCTGGCCTGCCCCAAACAAAACCAAATTATCAACAAAATCATTCAGTGATATGCACCACACACCCTCTCATATGAAATTTTGGTTACCATAATTCACAAATAATTATATAGAAAAATTTTAAAAAGAAGAATTCTGTCATTTTCTCATACATTCTGGATTGTCCCAATAGATTTAGCAATTATATCGACCCTAGAAAAGGACTGATACCGCCTCCTATAAAGTCTCATTTAAATAAATAAATAAAATAAAAAGTAGTAAATATACTAATAAAAAAAATATATATATATATATATATATATATATTCTTGTTTGTTTTTAGAGTAATAAGTATTTTGACATTACGGCAAAGCAGCGGAATTGGTAAAAATACAATTAACTTTGCCTGATTTAAGCTTAAAACATTTGAGGTCGGAAAAGAAAGTTTAAAATATCAAACTTATGAGTCGTGGTTGGTGAGAAATAATGTTTTTTATTCATTGACGGGGGAATTTTTTTAAAAGCGAAACATAGGCAAGTGCTTTTTTTGTTCTCATTATTAACATATTTAGAAAGACTCACAAAATATATAGACGTAAGCAGAATTGAGTTAACTCAATTCTTTTTAATTTAAAAAAAAAGTTAGAGCCATTATAATTATTTTTATAAACACCAAAAGCAGAAGGAAAAAAAAAACTTTGTGCTTTTGAAAAAAGGAAAGAAAAAGAAGAGAAATTGTGAGATTGGTAGCAAAATGAAATTAATGCAAAAAATAGAAAAATAGAAAAAGCACCAATGGAAAACTGAGTTCTCTACTCTCATTAAAACGCAGAATAAAGTACTTAAAGCGCACCGACTTTACTGGCCTGACAGAAAAAAAAACAGAGCAACCCGTATTTTTCAAGCTTCACACTTTGAACAACGTTTATTTTTTCCTGGAATTTGATTTTCCGGCGAGAGATGAGAAACATACAGAGACGTCGTTTCCGGGCACATCAGATCCCGGCATTTCCTCCGAAAACGGCGACGCTTTGTCCGACCAGGCATTCAAAACGTCTTCGTAGTCCAATTTCAGCATCAGCCCAGGCTCCTCCGCCTTGGCAATCAGATTCGCCTCCTTGGGCAATTCCGCGACGGCTTTCGCTTCCAAAACCGATAGTTTTTCCACTTTCTTTTTCTTCTTCTTCCCGGCCGAGGCCACCGAAGCAGAAGCTGGGGTAGAAGAAGACTGAGATTTGTTGAATCTGGGAGAGATTTCAAGAACATCGACGGTGGGGAAGCTCCACCAATTCCCATCATCAACATGCCTCAATGGTCTCACTCCCCCTCTTCTTAACCCGAACCCGAATTCGAATTTCCCGCCAAATCCCAACCCCATCGGATACCCGTAACAAGAATTCGAGGAATTTGGATTCGGGTTCGAATTCATTTGCCCGCCACCGCCACCGCCACCGCCGCCATTGTTAGACTCGTCGACTGAATCCATGTTCACGCTCATACTTCCCATGATGCTGTCAATCCCCTCTTCAATCTCCTCGTCGAGAATCGACTCGGCGTCGAAGTCTTCCTCTTGGTGATGGTAGCTTCCACACATCTCCATAGAATTGGAATTGGAATTAGCCTGGGAATCGAATTCCCCTGGACTCTGGCACATCTTTTCGAACGAATTCAGGGCTTTGGGCTCGAACTGAGAACTGGGTTTTTCTCCGATTGGCTCGACGATTAAGAAACCGGAGCTTCCGTCGTCGATGGCTCTGAAGGGCAAGAGCAATTCTGCAGATTGGTCCAAGAACGAGTCGTGGGGCTTGGTGAATTTCCGAGGATTTGTGAAGTTTTTGGTGGAGAAGATGCTGGGGTAAGCTGTGGAGAGCAATGCGGCGGCTTCATTGTAAGTCTGGTTGGGGCGTTTTCGAGGGGTTCGGGGCTTTCGAGTTGAGATTGCGAGGCCCGAGTTGCTTGATTCTGAGAGAGTTGAAGAAGGAGAAGATGTGGAGGTTCGGGTTGATGTGGATGGGGATTTGACTATGTCAAGCTCAAATGCATAGGTTCTTCCGCCGCCGCTGAAACACGAAGACATTTGTGGATGATTTCGAGGAACAAAAAGCAGAGGAACTGAATTGAATACCCCCAAAATTCAGGTGGTTGTTGATTTAAAGCCCAGAAGAAACAGAGGAGATGAACTCATAGAGTTTAGGAACTAAAGTAAAACCTAAAATTCAGATTGAATTCGAGCTGTGGCTGCTCAACAAGTAGACTTGGAAGACTAAAAAAGCCAAAATCTTTGCCGAAAAGAAGACAGAAAGAAAAAAGGTGCAAAACCCTAAACCCTAAAAGTAGAAGAAACAAAAGTATTGGCTTGAAATGAAAAGTAGGAAAAGGCCAAGCAGTTTTGGGAATAAAATAGAAAGGGGAACACAGTAGAACACTTGAGATATGGGTCTTTTTTTTTGCTGAAATTCCAAATTGGAACAAGCAATCAAGACTTCATGGGACACTAGTAGAAAGGTTTCAAAAAACCCGAAGAAAGCAAACCCCAGAGAATTAGAAAAAAGTTCCTATTTCCTCTCACAACTGTTTCTCTTAAAAAAAACAGAGTATCCCAAAACCCTAGAAAGAAACCAGATACTCAAAGGCAAGTAACTGGGTATTGGGCAAGAACGTATGGAAATATCTCAGAAAGGAAAGTTACCCAATAAAGGGAACCGAAGAAGTGTATATTATACTGTGAAAATTCAGCATAGAACAGAGGGATAGAGAGAGACGAAGAGAGAGGAGGTGGTGTTTTTGCAGAGTAGGTCACGAGGCAAACCAAATAAAAGGAGGAAAGAACCGTTGGGAAGCCTGTAAATACTACAAGTAGCATATGAAGAGACACAGATCCTCTCTCTTACTCTCCGTCTCTCTCTCTCTCCCGAGGGGACTGAGACTGAGAAGTGCCTATGTATGAGTGATGGAGATGAGACAGGGGAAGAGACAATACTCCAGTTTCAGCAGTTCTGGCTGTGGGACCGTTTTTCTTTTTCTGCCCTTTTTTGTTTTATATCTCTCTTTTTTTACCACTTCAATCATTTTATCTTGCTTATTTTACTATATTGCCCTTGCTCCCCTGCTTTTGCTGTCCCCCTTCTTCATATTTTTTTAATTCATTTTGTGAGGAAATAATTATTTTCTATACTTTTTGAGGATGCTGCAATACTATTATTACTGTAATGAATTCTCAAATAGTAATGCTGTTATTTGAGAATTTTGCTATAGATTTTGAGATAATTTTTACGAAATGAGAGAAATTTTTTTGATAAAATAAAGAGTTATAATAAGGGGACAACACACCTAACTTTGACTCAACAAATCACATAATAAAGGGTTAGGTGCACCACAAACTAAATAATATTTCAGAACATTTTAATGAAATACAGTTTGGTCTAATTTATTAATTTCTATCAATAAATTCATATTCAATTTTCAAAAAGAAGAAAAGGTTTTATTATAAAAAGATATATACATAAGTAAACCCCAAAAAACAAAAAACAAAAAAAAATGTCAAGTTCCAGCTTTTTTCTAATGCTTTTTTTCTTTAATGGTTATTGATAAAATATATTGTGTTTATGATTTTTGTTTTCTATATGGCTTGATTGAAATCCTTTGCTTCAAATTAAAAACATAAACATTGAATTTTTTTTGGAGTTTTCTCACTCCACTTGTGTTTACATGAGATGTATCACATACAACCACACCTTTATATTTCCTTTTTTTTGGGTTTAAAAAGTCGGCAATTATTTAGTTTTATATATGATTCGATCAACAACCCAATCATTGAGAACAACTTAAACGGGCTTTCTCAAGTGATCAAAACAAAAATAAATAAATAAGAAAGAAAGAGGAGGTTTTTTCAATTAATTTAAATAAAATCATTTTTTTAAATATGAATTCTCTAGTTACTTGCTATCCTTTTCATTTTCTATTTCTCTCACTCAAAATACCAAATCTAATGTCACATTGTAATTATGATTTGAAGTTCAAACTATTCATGTAAATGAAAACAAATATAATTGTCAATCGGGTGTAGCCTAGTAAAAAATAGCCTTAATTAGGTTCAAATTTTCGCGACACTTTAGTAGTGTGAGAAAACCCTCATCTCTCTTCCTAACTTAAGCAAAATATATAATTAAAGTGGGCATTAATGGATTTAAGCAATAATAATAACAATAATTAGATACAAAAAATATTGAAAAATATAAAAGGGCATGAGCATGTGGTGAAAAATGGTGATCCAGATGTTCTCATCCTAACCATGGGACAAGCGTGGATGTGCTGTGTTGTGTGGATGATTCTAAGTACGCCACCCATACCACCTGCAAAGTTACTTGAGATTTTATGGAAACCCCTTTCTTATCTGCTGAGGTGGCAAGGTCTGATTGGGTGCTTGAGATTTTTAGGGCTGACTGGAATTCGTTTATGGGTTGGAAGATATTCACGTGTATCTAGAAATGAGGAGAGCAATGATTTGAACCTTTTTGGTGTCTTTTGCAATGTTAATGTGCGGTCCATGGCAATCATACGTTGAGCTTATTAGGTTCAATAATTTGAGATTACAATATCAATTTCTTATGGTTTTTGCCACACCCAAATTTATGGAATTTGCACCATAAAAGATGGATAATCATCCATCAGTACAAAAATGACAGACTATTCTTATATTTTGAATTTGAATTCATATGTTGTTAAACTGTAATTAAGTAACGATTATCTGATTTTATTATTTAGCGGCACGTATATAGTGTCACTAACTAGTTATTTATGTAATGATATTTTGCTGAAACATGTTCCAAGGGAATTTTCCACTCTCAAAATATGAAAATAAAAGAAGAATTATTCTCAAAACATTCAAATACATATTCATTCTTTATAGGAGACAAATGATAAAAGTCAACATGTATGGCGCTTTTGTGGATTCTCACTCTGGTACTCGAATTATCTTGTCAAAGATATGTTCCGCAATATCCAGATAATAGTAATACATCATCGTCATCTGCTGCTATACAAAATGGAAGGTAATTTTTTATTTTTTATTTTTATTTTTTGTGTGTGTCTTGAATATCTAAATGAAAGGGTTATATGTCTGCATAAAATATTTTTAGGAAAAAAAAAGAAAGAAGAGTTTTTCTGTTATGGGACTTTTTTTATAATTTTTTTTTAAAAAAGAGTTATATATCTGCATAGCTACTAGATTCTATAATAAAATAAAAGTTTTCTGTCAATAAAATACAATAAAATAAAAGTTAACAAACACTGAAATTGACATTTTTAACTGGGATATCACTATCTTGCTATTTTTGGCTAATAATGTTACGACACGCGTGATAACACTTTCATGTGGCATAACATTATTAGTCGGGAATAGTAAAACAGTGTTATTCTCGTTGCAACTAAGTTTTTCTCCTCCATTACAAGTTGTCATAAATTCTTAATTGTGTACTTTTTTTCTTTTAATTAATGTATTAAAATATAAATTCAAGTCAAAATAACAGTTAAATTTTTTTAAAGGTTTTTTTTACAAACAATTGGGGAGGATGGTTTACGCAAATATTCATTGGGTGGCTAGGGTTTCTAACCTTTACTCAAATGGGTGGATGTAGAGGAGCTAAACCAATTATAACCCACTGTCATCTTAATTTGAAAACACCGAAAACATGAGGAAGTATTAATCTGCAATCATGAAATCAAGAAGAAGAAAAAAACAAGAAGGTTGGAGAAGCATGTTTGCGGACCTTTGCTACTCCGGATGGCCTACAGCCAATATCAAATACACACAAGAATATAAAACATTGAGAGCCAACAACAACTGACTACAAACAAACAAGTTCTTCATTCACAAAATAATAATAATGCTTAGAAAGTCAAATCAGCCCAAAAGAGAAAAAAAATGAAGTACAAATAATTGAGACCCAAAAAATATATTTCTTAGAATCTCAAGGATAAAATGGTAATAAAAAAAAAATTAAATGGTGAGTGTAAAAATAAAAAATAAAAAATAGAGAGCATATTCAGAATCAGAAGCATGTTCAAAAGGAGTTTGAATTTGGAAGAATTTAAACAAAATGGTAAAAGAGGGAGCAACTGGGCCAAGGGCATGTCGTTGTTCTTCTGACCGCAAGAGTCTAAAGACTGCAAGAGAAGAGCATATCCTCCTCATCAAAAGAATGACTGAGTGACCACACCCTTATCTTCACAAGGTGACCTGGAAATCCCACAGCCCTTGAAATTGGATAAACAGTATGAGCTTAGGATATTGGAAATTTCATGTAACGTATGACTCGTTAATTCCTTCGCACGGGAAGCCAATTAGGTTAGGCCAGTATTATTGTTCTGTCGCATTTATTTTCAAACTTTTTGTTCTTTTTTCTTCTTTGATGATGAGCATACATTATCTTCAACATCACATGATGGAGAGAGAAAGAGAGAGAGAGAGAGAGAGAGAGTAGCATACCAAATCATCATTGAATCACGAGTCTTTTCATCACCTCTCAACTCACTTTTCTATCAAACAGGTTAATCTTCAAATTGAAAACAGATTTCCTTTTGGTTCACCATTCTTTTTCTTGGTAAGTAACACTGTTGAAATAAAAAATTCATCGACAACAAATCAAAATTTAAACCCAAATGGAGATTTGGATTCAAAAGAAGGTTTTTGATCTCCAATAACATCAAGGTTGGACGATATTATTCGAGCTCAAGCTTGACTCAAACTCAAACAAAGTTGTGCTCAAGCTCGGCTCAACTCGTTTTTGAAATGAGAGGTCAAGTTTATGTTTACCTCGGCTTAATTAAAATTGAAAAATAATGAAGAACATGTAAATAAAAATTATAAAGAAGGAAAAAAAGTATATTTTTCAATACTAGAGATTTGATTAAACCAATTTAATAGTTGGATTTAAGTTTCTATGCTTTTTTATTTTTATTTTAAGATTAAATGTCTAACCTTTCTTATTTAAGAAGGAATAAATTAATTATCCTCGTTTGAGTGCAAATTTTTTAAGCAGTATGATATAATCAAGTGATGGAGCTATAAGATTAAAT